TATCCAACTTTTCGTGATCGACGACATCTCCATTCGACTTGAGGATGGTAATGGAGCCATCGATCTTCTTGATCAACACGTATCCACCCCTTGCGAACAGACGAAATTCCTCCAGTTCGGTGGAGGCGTTACGGCACAAAAATTCCTGTTTAACTTCTACCAGATCCTTTTTCAATTTCGAAGGATAGAAACTAGTGTAGAGGCCATTTGACAATGCCACTCTGACATCAAAAAGCATCGTGGGTTTAAACTGCTGCCTGTGACCCTTGATTGGTAAATACCTCTTGGTGAAGGTGTCACCATCTACTGTTGATATAGTGTTATGCAGTATACGTTTCAGGATACTCGTCAGGGGAATTTCAAACTCCGACTTTAATTTTTTCACGTGAATCAGGTTGTTGTTGATTTTGTAGATGGGCACGTTGGTGCAAGCTGCCTTTCTTAGCCTCTCCAACATGCTTTCGGAAGGTCTAAACGCGATATCCGTGGAACTGGTATACTCCTCGTTTAAAAGATTAATTTCCACGTTGTTTTGAAAGTAATTTTGATCTATGGACAATACCGTCGACGAGTATTTTGTATAATCGTATTGAATTGTTTCCCTCATATATTCGGTATTTCTCTTCTCAAATAGAACGGTATCCTTTGATTTCACCGATTTTCTGTACTTAAAAAAAATAAACGAGACGATCGTGCCATCAGCGAGGTTCATGTGAAAGTTGTAATCCTCTTTGAGATAAAATCGTCCTGTATGTAGGACTAGAGTATTACCTCCGCAATCTAAACAAACGGAGCACTTTGAATACTCGTCCAGCAACATGGTGTTATCGATAGTTAATTTCACATCGTCATGACTATGAAACGTAGTTTTGGCTCCCTTTAATTGGAAGTACTTCGTTCCAAAATCGTAAACCAAAAATTTGTCTTGTTTCTCGGATTTACCACACTCTTTAATAAGTTTGCAATTCGGTGGATAATGTTTAATCTCTTCTATTAACTGGGCGAAAGTTATTTCGTTTTCGTTATTGGATTGGTGATCGGGTTCAATGTCATGCTGATTTCCTGTTTCTATAAGATACCTGTACTCGGGGAACATGTTTAGATCGGCAATTTTTTTAACACCCTGGCATTCTTCCCTTATAACGCATTTCCTGACATATTTAGGTGGTTTGTTCTTTTCCAGCCACTCGGCCTTTTGGATGGCAATATATTTACAAAAATCCCTAAGACATATCAGCGTTGGCAGATACTGGTCGTAAGTTTTTGTATTTATACCAAAATCGTCCAAACAGTCAGAGTACTGAATTAACAGATTATCTGTTTCCGGTGAAAATCTATAATCGTAGTACAAATATTCATCCTGCGCCTTCGATGTTTGTTGAAGTAACATCGTTGTACCCAACTCCTCTTTCCAAAAGTACTCTGTAGGAGCAATATTGTACAAGTTATCTTCCACGCTCTCTTCTTTCTCAGTTCCAGATGGCAATAATTTTGTTTGACAATGCTTAATAAAGTCCAGTTTACTATAGGTTTCGAGATTTTTCGTTAAATCTGTTTCTACTAATTTCGGCAAAGTATTCCTCTGCCCAAACCGGTTGAACAGAAACAAATAGAGAAAATGTAAAACTATATCTTCGTCCCGTATAACAGTTTTGGTAGAAGGATCTATGTCGTGTTTGTGAATTATTTCTTGATAGTTTGCTTCCAGATCGTTTAAATTTTTTAAAGGGTGTGCGTTTTTTAACATTTTCAACGTCGAATCGTAAAACTCAGAACCATACTTCTTGTACGAATTCAACGTGATAAAAAGTTCGTCGTTTTCATATGCTAGGAAACTTGTTATTGGTTTCCACAGAGTTGAAGGCGTTGATCCAATTTTAACCTTCTTTTTAAAAAAAGCCTCGATAGAGCAGGGATCTATGCATCTATTTTGTTCAAAGCTATTCCCATCAGGATAGGAATGCTGCGATGAGCTTTCCAAATTTATCTCATCGACGCTTACAGAAACTTGCTTCAATAAAGTATCAACCAGAATAGGAACGTTTACCAACTCCATGGGGAATTTTTGGAAGAAATGGTTATAAACAGTGAACCACTCCAAAGGAAAATAATTATAAATTTCTTTACCTCGAAATATTTCCGTGTGCCTGATATAATTCAGATGATTCATTTTAATGTCAGTTATACTTCTAATAACATACACCAGCTCTTCAAATATATGATTAAAGTCATTGCCAGAGGCATTGTAAGTCATTAAAAACGTATTCTCGAGAAACTGACAACGCTTTGGTCCGTCAAAGTTTTTGTGAACTTGCTCCCAGAAGTCAGAAAACAATGAATTTTTGTTGGTACTTTTCTCACCTGACTGGGCGGTGATCTTAAGAATCGCTTGGATTTCTACAGCGTTATTAACAATAAGTTCCTTCAATAACTCTGGGTCGTAAAATCCCTGAAAGATATAGTAAGAAATGTGGTGATGAATGTCGTCATCAAAGATTATATCGTCGTCGGTTTCTATTGGTATATTTGTGTAATCCGGATTAGTCTGAGACGTTGCTGCCGCCGCCACTACCGTTTTCTTCGAGGCTGTACTGGGTTTCGAATCCCCTTTCTTGGAACCTTTTTCCTTTGGCGAACACTCGGCAGTTAAAACTTTCAAATCAGCCATCAGTTTCCTTCTACTCTGCATTCTTGTTACTGCCTTAATGTAACGCGTATACATAACCTCAATTAATTTTATTTTCATCAACCTTGCTAAAGCAAAAGTAGATATGGTTGTGTCTTCCTCTAAACTTTGTGTTTTCAAAAAATCTATTAAGTTCGACTTTATTGGAGTTGGAAGAACAGCTTTATCACAATTTTCTACCAAGCTGACAACTTCGTCATACGTTATAAAAGTTAAGAACGATATATCTTCGAATTCTCTTGATACCTCAATAATCTTTTTCATATTTTTGTTTGAAAGTTCATCAGTCTCATTAATAAATAAAATATTGAATATCTCTTGTGGGCAATATTTACTTAAATCTACTTGTTTTGACTTATCTATCTCCTTTTGTGTATCAAATTCGAATCCTTTCTCCCTCTTTTTAATTAATGAATGTCTTTTAGATGTTGATGGCCCTGTAGACATAGACTGATTTATAAATTGATGAGAGGGTCTTGAAGACGGCGTAGAATGCCTTAGAGACGGTCGAGTGGACATTTTTGTGCTGCAAAGATATAATTAAATATACATTTAATTGCAATAGGTTATAAAAAAATGTATTATACATAGATTGATGTGGAAAGTAGTAAAATAAATTATAATATAATAATAAGAATAAGAATAATAATAATATATGCCTAATGTGATAATGCTATATGGGTAATATAACATGGAAGCTGAAAAAAATGTATAAGAAGTCGTCCATGTGTAGTGTTCTTCAAAATAAGAAAATATAATATCGGTTTGAAAATGCTTAATTTCCTAGATGGAAGGTATTAAGTTTTTTTTAAAATATCGCCTCCACACAAATAGCTATTAGGATGTTTGACACAAATAAATTACACAAATTTGCTAGGAGACTTTTTTTAGAATGTATGGTAAAAAAACTGTACTGCGATACTGTTGTTTTCATTAATGCAACACACAGCCAACTATGACGCGTTTTTTTACGTAGATTGGTATTAGCGGATTTTTTTCCAAAAAACAGATTTCGTATTCTCATTCAGACTTAAGATGTATCGAATTTGATTCAACTTGGTGATAAGACGTTTTAAGAAATGCTGAATACAGCAGTATCACAGTTAGATAGAGGTTTTTCTATCATACCTCCTAAAAAAAAAAATTGAAATCGGACAAAATATATATAAAAAAAAGTTACAAGCTTGTATCACATTTAAGTGCTACACCCTATATATGAAAATTATTTACCGACTTCCCCATTTACAATAATCAATGCATATAAATGCATTATAAGTAAAAATTACAATATAACATGTTGTTACATATTTCTTTATATAAAAATTAACTTTGTAAATTTTAAGTTGAACGTTCAATAAAACTCGACAAAAACACTACAATTTAAAAGAATCGCTACAAATGCCAAGAAATGTTCTAGAAAATATTTAAAATATTGAAATTTAAATATCATAATGTCTGTCCCCCCTATAAATATAAGTGGCAGCACCAGTCAAAATGCTGGGACACCATTGCCACTGTCACTACTGTATATTGTTACGGAAACTTAACCTCAACTGTCAAATCCCAGGTCAAATGTAACCTTATTTCCAAACTCTTAGTTCAAATATGATCAAACAATTTTATTTGACCACTACTTTCAATACAGTTGGTACTTCAATCAACGAATAAACAAAATTATTCAAACTCCGCTTTGACGTTATTATTCGCGCGTTTCAGCGACTGGCTATAAACTGAACTCCGGGGATGGCAAGCTTCGATTTATATATGTTTTTGTGAGATCTAGAAAATTCGCGATATTCGAATGCCGGTATGGAACTAAATAGAATACAGTCTGGAATGTTCTAGAAAACGTCAAAGGGAAGTTATTACAAAAATGATAGAATAAAAGCAATTATGAACTATAACTAAACAGGAAGACAGGTAGGTGAGCTTCCGTATCAATATTATAAAGTCACTATAAGTGGTCTGAGATTTTAGTTGAACTAGCTATTAATAAACAGTGCAATTAAGTTTTATTTTTTTTAATTTTAAGTTAAATAATGATTTCATACACAAATAAAATAATACAGGGCAAGTTTTTTGTCTCATTATTTCATTCTCTGTCTGTATCTGAAAAGATGGTAAACAAGTAAAATGTCTTACGACGGTCCTATTCATTCAATAGTGCTAAGCCTGACCTGTATATTAGGAGTTGTGATAATATTGATAATCGATATAGTAGATAACCATTTACCTAATATATATTTTTAAATTTAAGAAGTTAGAAGTTACACATAATCACAGAATATATTATACTTCACTGTAGCGATTTTACTTTCCAATTTTTATAAAAGAAGAGAAAAGAAAAAATATTTATACTCATAAAACGTGCATAAAACGCCCAATGATTCATATGTTGACAGCTGACAGCTGTCAAATTTAACAGTTGTCAAATAAATCCCGTTTTCTATGAAATAGTTCTTTTAAATAAATTTGGGGTAAAATTTTGACTTTAACTTAATTTAACATCAAAATGGCTGATCCAAAATATGCTGACTTACCAGGAATCGTAAGTGCCACTTGAGTATATTATTTATACTTTTAGTTTTTTTTTTAATCATTCACTTGTTTTAGGCTCACGATGAACCTGATGTTTATGAGGCAAATGAGTTGCCAGAATCAGAGCAGATTGCCGACTTTTACGAGGAAGAAAACGAACCTATTGAAAAAATCCATATTTCAGTCGGCGATGCTTACAACAAGTTCAAAGGCAAATTTCTTAATGCTTCTAACGTTGATTTCTCTTCAAGAGTAGGTAAGAAAATTCGCATTGGATATGACGCTACCAGTGGTGATTGGGAATTGGTTGGACCAGGAGATAAAGAAACTTCGGTTCAAAAGTACCATAGGCTGCAGTGCGAGATGAAGGAGTTACTAGAGGAGATTAGTGAAGCACAGAAAAACAAGAACGGGGAGGAAATGAACTGTTTGGTCTCAACTCAGCAGGTAGAACATTCCCTTAAAACGTTGGCCGATTTAAAGTTGGAGGAAGAGTTGGGCGAAGAGATTATTTCTAAGATATCTGATCCTCAAGGCGCTCAAATTAAGTAGGTCAATTTAGTTATATTTCATTCAGTTGCAATTGAAAATTATATTCTTTTAGAAAACTGATGTCTCAAATACAACAATATAAAGATGCTATCAAAGAAAAACCTGAATCCCAAGTAGAATCCGATGATTCGGGTATAATTTATCAGTTCACTTACAAACCAGAACATGCCAGTTTGGCCCAAACAACTAGGATAGCAGAATTAGAGACCAGACTCCACAAATTAGAATCTGTACTTGGAACTTCATCTGATAAATTGTCAAGATTAACAGCAGCCGTGACAAAAGGTAAATTATACATTGGCCTATTATGAACTACTGTGTAATTAAAAGTTTTTTAGGAAGTCTGTTGGAGACAGCTGAATACTTAAGTGCGACGGCTAGTCTCTTGGACTCTTCTCAATTGGATCACATCGAGGGGCGACTTGGTGCTCTTGCGCAGAAACTAGAGGGCATTACTGAGAAAAAAAAGCAGCTACAACAAGATGAAGAGAAAGATAAAATGGTATACTCTTGGAAGTCATCTCCTTCTACTACTTATTAACTCTTTGTTTTAGATCTTGGAATTATATGAATTGGTAAAAAATAGTGAAAACATATCAAAGTTATTGCCTCAAACAATAGCAAGGCTTAAGGCTCTGGAGGCACTACATAATAGAGGTGTGTATAATTCATAAATTTACTAGCATTCGTACATTATTTAATGTTTCTTAAATTAAAACATTACTTATCGGTTTATTGACTTTAGCTACGGACTTTGCGAAAACTCTGACACAGATTGAAGTGGTGCAGTCAGAAATAGCAGGAAGTGTGGACAACAATAAAACGCTTCTGCAAGGAGTCCAACAGAGTTTCGCTATGAATCTGAATGAGATCAACTCGACAGTTCTTAGCCTTGATTCGAGGATCAAAGCTTTAAAGAACAAATAATTTTTAGCATTCTCCAATTTAGGTGCATTCTTCATATTATTTATTAATAGGAAAATATTTAACTGTATTTTTTTTATATGCTTATTCTAATTATTAATATTAAATGCAATTATTTTATCTAAGTGTATTCCTGGTTTTTCCTTTATTAACCCCTTAACTATAATGTACCCAGACCTAAAATCGCATTTATTTTTTGTGATAATGTACAGGGTGATAATCTCAAAAGAGAAAAATATTAGAGGCAGATTTCAGGAGGCTGTAACTCCAAAAGAGAGGGCCAGTTGGCAAAAGTAAAAAATACGGGTCCCCTAAATTTGTCTTAAGAATATACGACCAAATTTTGTTGCATGAATTTCGGGGCACCCTGTATAAATAAACATAATATATTGGTCATTCAAATGTGCTGCCACCAACCATTGCACATCGCTCAGCGCTCATGGTAAATTCCGTGTAGGCATTTTGGATTTCTTGAATGGGGATGGCATTAATTTATCTTTTATTCTTTGTTTCAATTCAAATAAATCGTTATTTAACGGGGACCCATAGACTTTCTGTTTGCGATAACTCCATAAATAAAAGTCCATTAGAGTTAAATCTGGACCTCTAGTAGGCCAAGGAATTGGGCCATTTTACCCAATCCACCGCACAGGAAATTGACGATCTAGCCATTCTTGAATGATTCGGGTTAAATGCGCTAGATGTCCATCTTGTTGAAAGTAAAAAAAAAACAAAGTTAACTGATCAAATCGAAAACTGACAATCTTGTCATAACTTTTAATTCTCAATAACTTTCTTAATATTTTTGATATTTTTAAAAACAAAGGTACTTTACTCTTGACCAATTTTGAAAATTCATCGTAAAACACCCTGTACATTAATTAGTTGGACTAATTTTTTCAACTTGTTTAAGACCAAGCAGAGATGGTGCCCAGAAAATCAAATTTCAACTGGAAAAATTTTTGTCATTTACACCCCACGTGCACTCAATCCATGGACACACTGTATATTACTTTATTTATTGTATTAGTTTTATCAATACATTTTAATTAGTATTTACCTTAATCTTAATATTATTTATTAATCATGTACCCAGACCTAAAATCGCATTTATTTTTTGTGATAATGTACAGGGTGATAATCTCAAAAGAGAAAAATATTAGGGGCAGATTTCAGGAGGCTGTAACTCCAAAAGAGAGGGCCAGTTGGCAAAAGTAAAAAATACGGGTCCCCTAAATTTGTCTTAAGAATATATGACCAAATTTTGTTGCATGAATTTCGGGACACCCTGTATAAATAAACAAATAATATATTGGTCATTCAAATGTGCTGCCACCAACCATTACACATCGCTCAGCGCTCATAGTAAATTCCGTGTAGGCGTTTTGGATTTCTTGAATGGGAATGGCATTAATTTATCTTTTATTCTTTGTTTCAATTCAAATAAATCGTTATTTAACAAGGACCCATAGACTTTCTGCTTGCGATAACTCCATAAATAAAAGTCCATCAGAGTTAAATCTGGACCTCTAGTAGGCCAAGGAATTGGGCCATTTTGCCCAATCCACCACCCAGGAAATTGACCATCTAGCCATTCTTGAATGATTCGGGTTAAATGCGCTAGATGTCCGTCTTGTTGAAAGTAAAAAAAAAAACAAAGTTAACTGATCAAATCGAAAACTGACAATCTTGTCATAACTTTTAATTCTCAATAACTTTCTTAATATTTTTGATATTTTTAAAAACAAAGGTACTTTACTCTTGACCAATTTTGAAAATTCATCGTAAAACACCCTGTACATTAATTAGTTGGACTAATTTTTTCAACTTGTTTAAGACCAAGCAGAGATGGTGCCCAGAAAATCAAATTTCAACTGGAAAAATTTTTGTCATTTACACCCCACGTGCACTCAATCCATGGACACACTGTATATTACTTTATTTATTGTATTAGTTTTATCAATACATTTTAATTAGTATTTACCTTAATCTTAATATTATTTATTAATCATGTACCCAGACCTAAAATCGCATTTATTTTTTGTGATAATGTACAGGGTGATAATCTCAAAAGAGAAAAATATTAGAGGCAGATTTCAGGGGGCTGTAACTCCAAAAGAGAGGGCCAGTTGGCAAAAGTAAAAAATACGGGTCCCCTAAATTTGTCTNCTAACTGGGATGCTGAATAAAAACTGCAATAATTTTTTAAGATGGGGAAAATCTTGTTTCGTTTTAAATAGTACTTGCCATTTTTTGCTTACACTTCCAGACATTTTTCTAACAGAGGGAATAATCGTTTTAATGGCGCTAAAATCTTCGTATAAACTATCATAGTCAATATTTAGTTGCAGCATTTCCACTATATCAGTTAAAAGTGAAAAACTAATATCGGACGTGTCATAATTTAAAGCTAATGGAATTATTTTGAACAGGTATGAAGTTTCGTCAAAAGGAAACCACTTATCAAGATAGTTTATTGCAGTAGTGTAAAAACACAGAAATTCATTTGTTACAGTTGCTTTTAGCGTACTAGACATTTTCTAAAGTGCCACTCCTGCTTTGTAGCCAAAAAATTTATCTTCTTTTCGCTGTCTTAATTTAATTTTCAAAGAATTGATATTTGAATACAGTTCAAATGACGTAGCTTCTGATTTTTCAAGCCACAATATAGTTTCTTGGAATATACGCAGTGCATTTTGTAAAAAGTACAAATATATTTCGATTACTGTACAAGTGTCTTCAGAAGATTGATCACTTTCGTCGCTTTTAAATATTTTCCAAAGAACAGCAGGACATTTGTCGGCTCCCAGTTACAGAAAAAAAAACTTTACCGCTGGCCAGAAACTAATTAGTTTGTCTAGTGCCGGAAGAAGACTAAGCCATCTGGTGGAAATGTGGCGAAGCAGGGATTCATATTCAATTTCAAGAAAATAAAAAATCTCTTTGAATTCTTTTACTCTTTTTGAATGCCCACTTCCTTTAATGTAATTATATATTTTAATAACAACTATCTCTACGTCAACTGTTAATTTGTTACAAGCATGTTTTGCAGAATTATGACATATATGAGCAGGGAAACCAGCTGCCAGAATTCGAAAGTTACTGCCTTTTAAAGATTGATATACAGAATGGTGAATACCAAAATTAACGCTGGCATTATCGGCACTATATGCAGATACATTCTCAATTTTAAGTCCAAACAATTCAAGCCTGCGTAATATTTGGTTTGAAATATCGTCTGACTTCTCATTCGGATCCTCGTAAAAATCCAACAATTTATTTTGAATTCCCTCTTCGATTGTCCAGTATCGTACACATATAGGAAACATTTTTGTACTACCTTTATTTGATGCATCCGACGAAATTGAAAAATAGACACCACCATCTTCTTTCAATACTTCAACATATTCCAGAGATGTCGGAGCTAAAACTGATTTAACTATAGCTTCTGCCTTTGTCCGTCCACAGGCAATACCATTTGCAATTTTTGAATCAGGAAATAAAACGGCAAATAATTTTGACATACAATCATTGGATAAGTATGACTGATGGTGATTAACTATATGATAAACATGGGTAGCCTCAGCAGCAAGTACTTGAACGTTAAGTGGCTCGTCTTTTTTTTCGAAAAATGTATTTATTAAATTATTTTGCTTTACTCTAATAGCATTATCTTTGTAACTTTTTGAAGCTGCATGCTGTTTTAAATCATTCTCTCCACCATGCCCTATGGAAAATTCTTTCCGACAACATTTACAGAAAGCCTTATTCTGACTATCATAGGAATTTCGCAACCATTCACTGAAAGGTTTCATTTTTTCCCATTCACTTTTATATGAACACAATCGTTTCGATTTTTTTGGTGGAACGGGATCACCAACTCCGCTTCCGCTGCTGCTACTAGGATTATTCATTGCATATAAATAAAATTAAACACTTAAGCAGTCGAAAAATTCACAATTAGACTGCTATAATGGCAATGCATAGGTACACCGTACGCTGTTGACTGCAGACTGCAGCTGGTTGTGACTTGCGGCGATTTTAATCATATTCCCACTCTCCACTACCTGAGCTTGCGCGCGCAGCAGTGGCCACTGGATTTATGTCAAAGTTAAATTACGGGACAATATGCGTCCCGTTAATACCTTGCCCGGGACACGGGACAAACTTCCGAAAAACGGGACAGTCCCGGAAAAAACGGGACATCTGGCAACCCTATTTACACCCCACGTGCACTCAATCCATGGACATACTGTATATTACTTTATTTATTGTATTAGTTTTATCAATACATTTTAATTAGTATTTACCTTAATCTTAATATTATTTATTAATCGTAGTCATAATTGTAAATATAGTTAATAAAAAAATTAATTATTCATTATTTGATCTAACCTAACTCTTAGTGAAGAAATCAATAAAAAATCAGTAATTACGTCTCTACAAGTGGAAAAATTTACTGGGGTTACACTTACCTTTAGTAAAGGATTAAGAAAAATATAGAACTGTAACCATGAAGAATTGCTAGAAAATGGAATCAAAATTATCCTCATTATAAAATCACAAACAAAACTCGCAAGACCCCCGACACAAAATTAGAAAAAATTCGAGCATCCCTCATCTTATTCTCCTGTTCGGATGAAAAGGGACCCACACATAACAAAAAATAAGTTTATCTACACCACATAAATTTGGCTTCCCAGCGCACTCTGCTGAAGTCAAGATCTTAGATACGGCGCCCAACGTGGGGCCGATTGGATCAAGGACAAAACCTGCATCGTAGATACTATCACCAGATAAAGTTGGGTTTATGCAATTTGGGGCACCCAGTAGTTTACTTAACAAAAGTCGTTTATTTGTTTATACCTCAGACCCATCATTTCTGTTTAAATTAATTTGTTTTACGTTTATTATCTACACATTGAAAAAGATTAATTACTAAAAAATTGTATTTCTTAAACATCACTTACCTAATACATAGATAAATACAAATATTTACAACTGAACTGTTTATAATCAATTATAATACAACTTTCATATCTTTTACAATTACCTCAGATATAATCTGTCAAAAACTATATAATGCATCTGCAAAAATGTTCATTCATTAAAAACTAAATAAATACACCAAATGCTATTCAGGGCGTTTCACTAAAAGATATTCCCGGAATAGAAATTTTATGAGAAACTTATGGTACGTCGGGATCTACTAAAAAGAGAGGGAAGTTGTGATAAAAACTTTATTTTCTTTTTTGAAATAAAAAAAACATTGAAAAAACTTAAACAGTTCCCCGAAAAATCCAAGGATTGCTGAGAATCGGCCAAGCCATCTGAAAATCTTTAATAATTTGGCCTAAAGCTGTATCCCTATCTTTCCAGTAACCTCAATTTCAATTAACTCATGCTTTAAATTATAAATAAGCTTATTTGAACTGAAACATTACTCCAACTCTAGGCTGGCGTACTCTTCTGGAGACACCTGAGTTACCATCAAATTGCCATCTGGCAACATCACCACCACTTTGTGGGTGCCACCTGAAAGATAAAAATAAACAATGTTTATTGTAGAAATAAAATAATAATGTGATTCTCTTATAATTAAAGTTAGACATAGGTTGATACAGGCACACCTTAAGAAATTTTAAAATGCTTCGCATATTAAATTGATTTATTAAATATAGTGTTTGAGAATCAATTTTGTTAGGCTGGAATTCCAATCAGCGTAAAAAACATATTGAAAGTCAAATGCATAAAAAAACAACTATTACAGCTACCATACTGGTTATTTTTATGACATAATTTTTATTTCCAGTGCTTGTAATATTCCGATGCATGGGGTTGATAATGAATTCTCGTTATTTTGATACAAATATGTAGCTAAGTGACCATTAGTCCAAGTCCAAAGCCGTTGGCTGTATTATCACACGCATAGCACAAACGAACACACTGAGAGTAATACACAATGGGACAAAAGTAGAAAAAAATGTGGATAACTGTAGACGAAAGTAATTATTGGAAGAATACCAACAAGACATATTTTAGTGCCATATTTATTAGCACGTAAGCAATGACTTTTTGCATTTTGCAGTATTTACATGAAGGAAATACTACAATACATCAGTATTCTACATATGAAAATATTATATTTTTAAATGTAGAACATTGCTTTTAAAATATATAGGGTGATTCAGTTCAAGGTTACAATTTAAATATGGCAAAACGGGTTTCCTAGCAAAAATAAAGATCTGAATTTTGACATGTGTCATTAGTAAGTATTGACATTTATGATTATGGAGTGGTATTCCACAGAAGAACGTATTTTAATTGTTAAAACTTATTTTCGAAATGGAGAAAATACACGATTCGTGCATTGCGAGGTTACTTCGGTAACCATAACCGTCCATCTTGAGCTGCTGTTAAGAAATTAATCCAAAAATTTGACCAAATCGGATCAGTGTTGGATGGCCAAAAACAAATACGTCCTCATAGTGGTCGATCAATCGAAAATGTCGCAGCAGTGAGAAACAGTGTACGTGACAATCCGTCAACTTCCATTTGCCGTCGTTCTCAGCAATTGGACCTTTGCACCACGCAGCGTATTTTAAAAAAAGATCTGCACTACAAGCATCCCTACAAGATTCAATTAACTCGGGAATTAAAGACAACCGATCATAGACAGTGTCGGGTCTTTGCTGATTGGGTATTTCAGTATCACCAAGTTGATAACAATTTTTCAAGCAAAATTATATTCAGCGATGAAGCACATTTTCAACTAAACGGATACGTAAACAAACACAATTGTCGAATTTGGAGTTTTGAAAATTCACAAGGTAGGAACACCAAATGCATCCACGAAAAGTTACAGTTTGGTGCGCATTTTGGGTCGGCGGAGTGATAGGGCCATACTTTTTTCAAAATGATCAAGGTGATGCCGAAACAGTTAATGGTGAACGTTATCGGGACATGCTAAGGAATTTTTTTGGTATGAATTGCAGAACATCGATCCGGAAGACATGTGGTTCCAACAAGACGGTGCCACATGCCACGCAGAAATGTTGCAATTGTTATACACAAAATTTCCCGACTGCGTTATTTCTCTTTCGCCAATCAAAATAGGCCACCAAGGACGTGTGATATCACGCAATTGGATTTTTTTCTTTGGGACTATGTGAAACAAAAAGTTTATGCCAATAATCCCAGAACAATTCCAGAGCTAAAGGACGAGATTCGCCACGTTATTTGTGAGCTTCCACAGGACTTATGCCGAAGAACAATGAACAATTTTATCAAAAGGGCAGAAGTCTACCAGGCTGCTCGTGGTGGTCATTTAGCCGATATAATTTTTCATGTTTAATGCCAATGTTTTAGCATTATAACAAAATAAAAATAGCAGTTTTTCAAAAAACAACGGGTTTTATTTATCTTTTAAAATGTTACCTTTAACTGAAGCACCTTTTATTCTTTCTATTAAATGCTTGTTTAGAAGAAGACTACAAAATCTGTAACTTACAGCAAAATAAGTTAATTATTATCTTTAACAATTAAATAATATTAGATTTCTTAGTCACATCACTGATTTTGAATGTTGAGCTCTAATCATACCACATCTAGAACATTATTTGATATCTTTTGTTCAAAAGAATCCCACTTCTGATGTAAAACAATAACTACAATGATCTGCTTATTATATACAGGGTGTTACTTTAAATTGGGGATGTTTATAACAGTAACAGTAAGCGTTCCCCAGAATACTACTCTAAAATTATTATTTTTTTAAATCATAGCATAGTTGAGTAAATTTTTCATTTTTTTAAAACTTCACTTAAAGTCTAAGCCACCACTGAACAGTTCCCGAACTCGGTTGATATACGTGCTTAACAGTGTTGTCTGTTACTTTTTTTAAAAACTGTATGGAATTACTAGAGTGGCAGAGAGTGAAACTGCAAGGGAAAATAATTTTGTAAGAACAAATTGCATTTGTATAACTCTGCGACATATTTTAAAGTACCCATATATTTTTTTATGTCAAGCACAAAACATTGAAAAAGTGTTTTTAGTACAATATTTTTAAAAGTATTCATCTTTTAAAGCACTGTGTTTAGTTTGTGAATCTCACTGTTAATGACCTAGTGCAGATAAACACATAATATCAATCCACCTGTTACCACCAAATTAGGCAAAATGAAAATGACTGAATACCTCACCCCTTCATTTTATTACATTCATTTTAGTTTTCAATTTATCAGTTACGGAAATGTGTTCCTAATACGGTAATGTAATACATGTTATATAACAATATAAATGGACTCACCTGGACTTGGTGGTTCTGCTCTCACAACTTGTGCGACAACCTGGTCTGACACGTCTTCGTCTGTCTTAACAGAAAGTGGTTCCGTCACATTAGTCGGTATCTCCGGCATTGCAATATCGGCCTGAGCATCCTCTGAAGTATCCATTGTCTCTGCTACCTCGTTTGTCACTAGCAAACATTGCTGTTGTCCGTCGCTGCCTTGCGTTAACAGAATAGTCTGACCGTGCTCATTCTGGCCTGCCACTTGATACACTGTCCCGTCATCTCCGGTTATGAAGATGGGGTTCTCATTATCGGTTAGCGTGAAGGATGAAATGTCTGTCGTCACGTTGTTAGCACCGGCTTCTGTTACCGGTTCAATAGGCGCCTCTACGGGCGTTTCCGCGGGAGGTGTGGGTGTTAGCGTTGGAGGGGTATCCGCCACAGGAGAGGCTGTCGCGATTGGAAGAGAAGGAGCAGGGGGTGTGGGCGACTTGGTCACCTCTGCTATTGGCGGTGGAGAAGGTACTGATTCATCGTCACCTAAACAAAAATTATTTTAAAGCCGGTATATAGATAAAAAATGACAATTATATAAAAAAAAAACACTGATCGTTACTTTTAATTTACCTTTGCAATGTAGCATCTTTAGCATCAACATTATAAAAAATATATCATCTTTGACATAGACTAATGACATCTGATATCTAATTATTGTGTTGTAAATGAGAGAATTAATTTTTGGCAAATTTTAATTACACACAAACAAGTGTAAATAAACACACACACACGAGTGAAGGATCTGAGAATATATGTTCTACATTTCTACATGATATAAATAAATATAAAGTTAAGAAATGCAAGATGTTTTATGTTTTTGAAAATGTTCACCATTCCCAAACATTTTTGTGAAAATGCTGAACATTCGTGATTTTCACCTAATTAAGTTTTCCGATTAAAACTTGGATACACGGTGTATTATAAATTTTTATAACACCGTCATATACAGAGTATTCAAAAATAAGTTCACCAGGTAAAAATAAATCTGCTTAGGTCAAGTGTAGTACAGTAAAGTAGTATCTATATGGTTTTGAATTCATTAGTATTAAAGCATTATATCAAGTCAATTGGTCACATATTTTTTAATATTTGTTAATACTTCTTTGCAAACTGGTTGTTTTCCGAATAAATTAAAATTAAGGTCAAATATCCCTATTCAAAAATACCGTCCAATCACCAATTGAAGAAGTTTTAGAACTGGCAGTATATTGCCATCTTTCAAACCACGTTACTATTAATGATATTTTATTTATCATTCAATCAGATTCAATATGATTACTGACAAGTTTACAACAAACTTGCTAAATTAATGTTTTCTCGCAAAGTTATTTTGTGATCATTACAACTTTGTTGCAAATTTCTTGCAAACCTGCCATAAAAACTTTTACAACTTTAGTTTAATTTTTAAATTGATGGCAATGTTGCAGCAATTTTATTTTGCTTAGTTGATACATAATTACACTCTGATCTCAGTTCTTAAATAGTTTTAAACTAAAATTCCAAGTTTAATAATAATAACTAAAAAGGTAGGCAAGTGACCTTTCCCTCGGGCCGCACGCAGTGTATTCTTTGTGGGTTAGTAAATAATATCGAGGGCATCATATTAGAGCCACTATAGTCGGTTTTGGGTTTTTAGGGCGTATGACCTCATTTAATCAATTCATTTAATATATCAGAAGGGCATATATATATTCATAAACATCAACACTCTATTCTAACGCATTTTACTTAGGCGTATGAACCAATTTTACAAAACTATATCAAAAAGGCATATGCTCATATGCCCTTCTAATTTCTTTTACGCCTGCTAGACAGTATTAGCTTATACGCCCTGATGTAGTAAATTTCACACAACCTTACATTTGGTTAAATTTGTGAATGTTTGTAGATAAAAATTGTGTTGTTTTTGGTTTTTTGTAAGTGTCCTAAACACCCGGTCAATGTTACAACATCACCATATTCTGAAAAACTTCCTATAAATAAATTAAAGTATAACAATTTATTGTCTATCTGTCAAGGCAAAGATGCAGTCATTCCTCCAGAATATAAATATTTTTATGTTTCTTTGCCAGTCATAAATAGTTCCCAAAATTCCGATGATGAAGAATTTGATGACGAGAGATCTCTACATGTACGAGAACGACTTATAAAGAGGAAAAGGCATATTTTCGTATACTATACGCCTATTATTTAAATAAATTTAATACATGTTCCTCGAACATCCTAATATCAGAAAGGCGCATGAGATGGAAATCAATTATATGTTGGCATTTTACTAGATACTTGAAAGGTAGGCAAGTCCGCTGACGCAGGCTTGACCTTTCTCTCAGACCTTCGGCCCTCGGGCCGCGCTACGGGCGACTCGAGCACCGCTCCACGGTGCGTTCTCTGTGTGTTGGTAAATAATATATAACATTTTCCCAAAAAAAAAAAGAGAAAATGCGACCCGCTCGCAATTCCAATCCCGGACCTTTCGCTTCACAGGCCTGAGTTTACAAAATGAGCTACGGCGATCTAACGCTAGGTGGAGCCTGCACGGGTTATTTGAAACCTTGGGTCTTCGCTAATGTAAACGCAAAATTTGAAAATGTTCAAATCAAGTTTTATCACCAATGTCGCGTCTCTAAAAGATCAGAACTGTGCCCAACGGCAAAATAACGACTCACTGTGGAACGATCGGCCGAAAAAACGCGGCAAATGACAAAACTTAGTTTGACGTCTTGACTGACGTTTGTCTCCATCTCCGTCTAAATATCGGATATATTTCGGGTTTCTCTCTCCCACCAAAAAGTCAATTTTTGGCAAGGACGCTTTTTAAAGTGGAAATTTCACATAGAAGGCTTGTACAGATCGACTTCAGAATATGACGTGGCTCGCCTTTGATATGGCAAGTCATCACTTTTCACAGCCAAGTGTGGGAGCGAGAGTAACCTACAGCTTTTGATATACAAGGTGTCCGGAAATGATGAGCAAAAAATTCAGGGGATAATTCTAGACCGAAAACTATAACATCTTTCTATAACATTTTTTCCAAAACTGATTATTAACGGAGTTACAGGGTGTTAAAGTCAAATTTTATTTGCAGTTTTTTTGCAATACCTTTTGCCACTCCACAAACTTGTTTCCAAGGCAACTAAGCGCTGTTTCCAAAGCATGCTATGTTTAATGTAGAAAATAAATTAAAATGATTTTGTATTATAGTGATGTAAAATTCTCGAGCACGTATTTTTGCAGAACGTTCCCCGAGCACGAACGAACATGAACGAGAATAAACGAGCATAAACGAAAAAAACGCTAGAATTTATATTTGGGGTGTAGTGAAGTATTTAGAAACTTACTTTTCGTATTTTTTTCTGAAAATGCTCAAAATTCTCAAAATGCTGTAAATGCTTAAAATACTCCTAATGCTTCATATGAAAATAAGAGTGTATTCATATTATTATTATGTTGCAAATAATACAGTAATAACTTCTAACATCAAAAAAAATATATTTATTAAATAAAAAATAGCTAAAACTTACATGCATGTTATAGACTTTCCAATATCAATTGAAAAACGAAGACGTTGACAGTATGTACCAGGTTCGGTCGCTGACGCAGCAACTCGGCACTGAAATATTTGAAAAACTTGTTCCCATATTTATTTAGCCATACCCATATACAGGTCTGGTCGAACTAAAGGTGAAGGTGGTAGAAATGTATACGCCCAGTTGAAGAATGCGAGCACGGCCAAATGAAATCTAACACAGCTGCATTGGGCCGCTGGGCTATAAATCTCAGTTCTTGACAAGTGTTGACAAACTGCCCAGCAACTTATAATTTTTTACCTTTAGCAGAAAACATTTTTAGGGACGCCTATGAATGACATTAAATTTTATTGCCAGGCGTTTTTTACGTGTTCAACTAACTTCGGAAAGACTATACATGTATGTAGACATAATGTAAGATAAATATAGCTTTGACATAGTAAGTAGCTTATAACTTAAATATAAAATATTTTTTTATTTAAAAGAACTTTATATAAGAAAAATCAAATTGCAATCTCAATTTGCAATAAATTGAAAATATAATTTTCTCTGCAAATAATCAAATGTGTTAACTAAATCAAATAACAAAATAAAACAAGGGAATCCACAGAGGCAGAATGATGCAATGCACGCAGATGAAGTGCGCTGATTGACCGTGATCCTGCTGAAAATTCTCTTTCGTGCCGAGTGTGCTCTGTGAGGAACGTTCGCGGAGAGCGATCTATCGTGCGCGCATGAACGATTTATCGTGCGCGAACGTTCGCGAAACGTTCTCCACAGCACGAAGGGAACGTTCTCCCCTTTACATCACTACGTATTCATCACATACAAGCAATGTTATTTTAGCGTTTTTCTTGAAAACTGTTAGATTTATGGAAACAAATAAAGTATACCTTTTTTATGTCAAAAGGTTAGGAGAACAAAAATATTCAAATTTCGCATAAAGTGTAGCACAAAAAGGTTAGAACCATTCAAATTAAAATAAAGGCTCGTATGTGGCGCCCTCTACAAAATGCAAAAAAACGGTGGGCAAATTTATAATCCTCATCCCGAAAAACCCCCATATACGAAATTTCGTCAAAATATTATGAGTGTGGCAAAAGGTATTGAAAAAAAACTGCAAATAAAATTTAACTTTAACACCCTATAACTTCGTTAATAATCAGTTTTGGAAAAAATGTTATAGAAAGAGGTAGGATTTATTTTCGGTCTAGAATTATCCCCTGAATTTTTTGCTCATCATTTCCGGACACCCTGTATATATGGATCTTACAATTGTTTTTGTCACCCGCAAAATATACGGGTATTTTAGTGTTTCTACACTAAATAAATTTTTAGTTGGTATTGACCACATAAAAATGGCAGACATCTCACTTGTGCAGTATATTTCAGGTATGTGATCGCAATCCATTAATAAATAAACAAAAACCTTACTCACCTATTAAAGATGGCATGCTAATGACAGTCTTTGGCTTAGAGACGACGGGGGCTCTCTCTACCACTTGCCGGATCATAACCGGTTCCTTCCTCGGGGACACAGACACTCTGTGGACATTCGTGCCCGTCTGAACAATCCTGGCCACGGGTCTTTGACTGAAACCTCCCGCCGTGCTCCTTATGGTGGTGTTGCCAATTTTCCTGGTCACACCCGAAATGGTGGTCTTGGAGTACACGTTCCTGGGTGATATTTCATGCTGGGATTTGATGATGCCCGACGATGTGGCAATGTTGAATTTGGGCTTGGGTGCCATCGGTCTGGTGCGGATAAGGCTGGCGCTACGTGGTGAAGCTCTCATGATCGAACCCACATGACTCCTGGGGGTAATCGACGGGTTCAGGATCCTCTGTTGTATCTTGGGCTGAGGAGGTGAGGTTAGCAAGCTCTTTCGCAGAATGTTGGAGCTGCTTAAGGCTTTGTTCAATATAGAAGGCGAACTCTTGACCAGAGTTGGAGTCATTGTGACCTTAACCGGGATCCTTTGAGTGCTCACAATAGGTGGCGCCGTCTGTTCAGTCTTCTTTTGAGTCTGCTCTTCTCGTATGGTAGGAGCAACCTCATCTGTTTCCATCGATGTCTCCTCAGTTTTAAGATCATCCTCGGTGATATCGGCCGCTGCCAATTTAACGATATTCTCCAAAGAAGAATCTTCGGTTTCTATCTTTGATTCTTCCTCTTCCTCCTCCTCCTCCTCTTCCTCCGGTTCAGGTATTGGTTCGGGTTCAGGATCGGGGTATTCCCGTCCCGCTATTTTTCCAGTAATGGGATCCAGAATGAACTCACCCGGAGGGCTCTCGGGCTCCGGTAACTTTATTTCATCGGGGAAGGGCAATTCTTCCAAGCCATCGTCGGATTCATCGTCTTTAGGCGGGGGAGGCGGAGGGGGCTGCTTCTTGGGCTCCTCTTTGGGCTTCACAATTATTTTAGTTAGAGTGGGCGTCGCCTTTGGTGTGATCGTCACTTTAGGTGAGATTTCCGGTGCTTTTTTCACCTTTGTTATGACAGGTTTGAAGGTTTTTGTTGGTGTGCTTACCGTGGACCGATTCGGTGTCATCTGGATGATCTGCTTCGTCGTTGTGGTCTGCCCGTCTTTTTTAACAATTTTAATTTGCGTCTGACCTATCTTAGGAGCCACTTTCACGATAGTTTGTCCTCCACTGGTGGCCACCTTTGAGGTGGTAGAATCAAGTTTGATTATCCCTGCTGTTTTGGACATGATGTAGACTCCGGTACTCAACGAAGGCAGTTGTTTCTGGTTTATTCTGACGACACCGTTCGCGTCTGGTATCAGAACATTTTGGGGTAAAGGACTTATTGCACCAATTCCATTCTTGATTATTTGTACCGGTGGCTGTATAGGTTTGGGCGCTATCTTCTTAAACTGTGTCAATCTGGGTTTTATGTCAACATCAGAATCGTCTGAATAGTCTTCATACTTCATTTTCTTCTCAAACGAGTCATCGCTGTCATCGTCTTCAAATGATCTCTTCACGCCTCCTTCATCTGTGTCCGAAATATTGCCGCACCACGCTTTGACCTGATTCAGAGCTTTCTGCTTGCTTGTTCTAGTCGGCCGTCTAAAATTTCAAGTTACCAATTAAAATCAAAAATTAAAAAAAAAAAAGTTTAAGTAAATAATGTTATCCCCTTTAACAGGTGATATAAAAATTCATTTTATACAAAATAGATACAAGCTGTTGAAATTAGGAAAAAACATCACATTTTCTCGAAATCAGACCAATGATTTATCTAATTAGAACTAAAAACCCGCTAAGGTGACTTAAAAATATGTTAACCAGTAAAGGAGATACAAAGGTGTTAGTGCCACTAGAAACTTCAAAATTTTGAGGCCAATGAGTATTTAGCGGATTGGATTTTATTATCAATTGACTTTCTGAGAAAAAAGATCTATTACATTTTGCTCAAAGAATAAGCCAATTTTAAAGTTAAGTAAAAAATTGGGAATTGTATAACAGAAATTCAATTTTAAACACAATGTAATATGTCAAAAGCTCCTAAATAGCTCATAAAAAATATATCAAAATTTCTGTCAATGATTTTTTGAACTTCGGACAGATTACATTGTATTTAATGTATTTCTCTCAAAAAATTCATATAAATTGTTTTTGTAGAACAAATAGTTTTAACGTTGTTTTCGAGTTAGTTAAGGGGGACAGCCACTGTGATGATCAAAAAAAAATTTTTATACACCTTTGAAAATGTGTATAAAATTTTAAGTCGAAATACCAAAAATTGACATTTACAGTCATTTTAGTGAGGCAGGTATAGATGCCACAAATCATCGGTGCACTAGGGACAGTCAAAGAAACGTGCGCAAAAGGGGCAATAAAATAAAAAACAATACCAAGGACACCACTGGAGATATACAGGAAGAACCATCATATGGCCCAGGATTCGATAGTTTGATGTAAGTAACGAGCATTCAAATAAAAACGTGGTCAAGTTGGTTCTGAAAATTTGGACGTAGGGCGTAGCGTATAGCAAATGAACTTAAACGTCATCTGTCAAAGCGCTATATCGCCGCTATCAATTTGAATATTTTCGTTTTAAAAAGCGTTTAAAATGGTGTTTTCTCAAGAACAAAAAGTGTTTATCATAGAGTCCTACTTTAGAAATGGACGCAAGATTGATGGAATATGGAAGTATTCTATTGAGGAATGTTTCATAGAATTTCAAAATCAATTTCCCGGCGTTGTTGAGTACAAAATTTTTCAAAGTGCAGTTCAGCGTTGTGTTAATGTTTTTCGTGGAACGGGCAGTGTAACAAGAAAAGAAGGAAGCGGCCGACCTAAAAAGCGGACTGAAGAATTAAAAGAAAATCCAACAAATAATGGAAAATGCGCCAAGAACTTCTGTACGTGTTTTATCACAAATGGTGGGAGTATCAGTCGGTACCTGCCACACAGTGTTAAAAAAAGATTTGCGTTTGTTCTCCTATCGTTTAACTTGTCAGCAAGAACTTCATAAAGTTGATTTCCCGCGACGGGCTGTATTTTGTGAATGGTTTTTAAACAACACATATCACCTGTTTCACCTGATAATATCACCTTTTTTTCTGATGAAGCCTGGTTTCATTTAAGTGGTTACGTAAACTCACAGAATATGAGAATGTGGTCTTCTGAAAAACCAGATAACATTTTTATCGAGGGCCCTCTACACGCTCAAAAAATTGGAGTTTGGTGTGCTCTCAATCGAAGGAGGATTTATGGACCTATTTTTTTTAATGGTACTCTTACTGCGCAAAGGTATAGAGAAGAAATTATCGCTCCTTTCGTTAACCAGCTGGAAGAAAACGAAATTACAAACTTTTACTTTCAACAAGATGGCGCAAGGGCACATACGGCAGGCGAGACGATGAATATGTTGAGGGAAGTTTTCCAAAATCGACTAATAAGTCTCAATGCTGAACATGAATTTCCACCGAGGTCATGTGATATTACGCCGTGTGATTTCTATTTGTGGACTTACCTTAAAAACACTATTTTTGAACTGCCTATTCCTGATTTAAACCATTTGCAGGCTCGACTTATAGACAAGATTCGTGAAATTAACAATACCCCGAGCATCTTAGAAAATGTCTTTAATTCTTTGAGGAACAGGTGTGAAAAGTGCTTGGAACAAGGAGGGGGACACTTTCAGCAGCTGCTTTAATTTATTGTTATAACAAGGAGAGGGACACTTTCCGCAGCTCCTTTAATTGTTTGTTATTGTTATCACGATTATTCTTTAAAATAAAGTTATATAGTCATTAACGTTATTGAAACTGACAGCTGCTATACAGCTCGTTGAGAAATGAGGTTAAGTTGGTCGCTATAAGCTACTCCCTACGTCCAATGTGTCAGAGCCAACTTCGACCACGTTTTTATTTGAACGCTCGTTATAAATGTTAGTAGATACATGATTTTATAGTAAGAAAAATGGTCCGAAAACTTTAAACCCGTTTTTCTCAAAACGACTTTGTTCAAACTGGTTGCATCGATAACTCGATTTATTATCAACCGATTTATTTTTTATTTTTTTTGTTTTATTCGTTTTTTTTTTGTTTATTAATAATAATAATTTTATTTTTTAAGACTGCTTAAATGAAAAAAGGGGCAAAAAAGTGAAAAAAATTTTAAGTTGATTGCCATTTTGTAAAAAATCTAAAAAAAAATGGCAACATACAACGATAACTACATTCATATAGATTCTAATGCGATTTGATTTCTTTTTCAGATAACCCGTTTTTGGAAAATCAATGCGACCATGGAGGGGAAGGCTTTACGGCAAGGCTCATAACTTTGTAACAACTTAATATTTTTTAATAAAAATTTACATGAACCAAGTTGAATATACACTTAATAAAATTAAAAAAAAAAATCCCCATATTCCTTAATTTTCCTGGTCAAAAAAATTCACGAAAATCGCTCACTTTCTCGCCTGTCACAGTGGCTATACCCATTAACGGTTTTTTAGGCTCACTTTAATATAAAAAAAAAATCAGGAATCTAAATCAACTCATTATAGAAAATCAATTGTTAATTAAAAAAAAAAACACTAATCAAATTTGCAGAATACTTACTGGCATCGAAATTCCGATCCTCCTAGTGGTAATAACCTCTTGCATCTCCACCACTGGTTAACGTATTTTATAAGTCAATTTAGTGGGTTTTTAGTTCTAATTCGTCCAAAGTGATATTTTATTGGGATTCGTTACCATTATTTACCAAACACCATGTATAAAATTTGACTTACCCAGGTGTTGAATCATTGCTGAATGAGGAACTTGGAGTTGAAATTGTAGGCGAAGGTTTCAAAGGCCTTCCCCTGCCCTTTGCCACAAGTCCGGCCGCCTGCTGCTTGGCTTTTTCAGCTTTCAACTTCTTCAGCTGTTCCTCAAACTCCTCTACCATTTGCTTACAATGGTTAAGATTGGAAAGAGGCTCCCACGTATTCTGATCGCTGAAAGTAAAATAATGTATTGTCACGATTTTCGCTAATTTATTTTAAATAACAAACCTTGAGAAGTTCTCCCATTTAATTTGGTACTCCCATGTTTTTCTCTTGGGATTAAAACGCTTCGCAACGATCCTCTCCACCACGTATTCCCGTTTTTCGGTGCTTCTCACAGTACGGAGAGCTTTATTGGAGTTGGCATCTCCACTGGACTACAAAAATGTCAATATAAACCAATCATCAAAATATAAACTCATGCAATTACCTTAGAACTAGGTAGAATTGTGACGTCATTATTCAATCTCACAGGTTTCACTATTGTCTTTTTTATAACATCACTCGGTTTAGTATCTACATTTCCTACTATGGAATTCTCTTTGTTGCTTTCTGCTAAAAAATATAGTTAAAAATTGACACAACGAAAAGTTTCCTCAGTTTATTCTCTTACCGAACCCATCCAGGGCTAAAGGATCCTTCTCTACTTGTTTTGTCGGCGACACCACTTTAGATTTCGTCTCTGCAATTTTAGCAGTGCTGATTTTTGAACAAAATTGTATAGTCTGTCCAGCGGTTATCCAAGCATCTTTATCAGCCTGCGGTAGTTTGCACCATTTTTGATATACAGCCCAGGAAGATGGTACATTGTCACTCTCTTTCAGCAATTTATGTTGCTTGTGTTTCCACAAAGTAAATCCCCACACTTGAGGCTTACTTTCACCATCACAAGTTGTGACTAAGTGTGACTTGTCATTGCATGGTACACCGCTTTTATGTAGTTGGAAATCTTCCACAAAATGAAAAACTTCATGGCACCTGCCACATACCAGCACGTCCAAATATTTGAAATCTTCTTGTGCTTCTGAAAATTGCAAGTGCAAATATTTTGTAACAATCATCATAAACATACACTGTTTTATATCATACATATTTAATTTCATTACAATGCCAATGGCAAAAATAAATAACACTTACTTGTAATCAAGACTGGATCTTTCGATACATTATCGGCAGCCAACATTTCTTCGGGATGTACCTCTATTTTGGTTAACTCAACCACTGGCTTATTTGTAGGCTGTGAGGTTGAAACTGGTTTTGGAAGTTTTGTCTCTACTTCCGATTTTTCAACATTCGGAGTTTTCTCTGGCTCTGGTAGTGTATTTTCTACCTTTGCATCTTCTGGTGGGTCGCCTTCGTGCAATCTTTTCAATTCCTCTTCCAACTGACAAACAGGCGAGGTATTCACGGTATCTATAGAAGACACTTTATTCATAACATTATTTGCAGAAGCTTTAACATTCTCAGAAGTTAATTCTTCTGCGGACCTTAAATCGTCTACAGAAGTCAGAGCATCTGCTACAGATAAAGCATCTGAAGAAATGAAACTGTCTATGGGTGCAGAAATATTTGTTGTAGAAGTTTCAGAAGCTGAAGACTCAATGGTGATGGTGGAAGTTGTAGTAGATTCTGTTGTTGTGAGTGTCTGTGTTAAAGTATCTGTCTCTGTAGATGCAACTATTTCAGTAGATATTATTGAATCAGTGCCTGTTGTTAAAATGTCGTCACTACTATTTCCCGCGCTCGTAATAGCGTCTGTGGCAGCAGCAGCAGCAGGCATTTCATCTTCTGGCGGCGTAACATCTGCTTTTTCGTCCATTGCTAGTCGGCGTAGCCAAATCAACTATCTTCTTAATAGTGTCACCTGCAAATCTCTGCTGATCAAACTGAAATATTGCCAATATATTAATATTTTTTGCATTTTGAGAACAAATCGGCCAATGTTTATATTTAGCGCCATAAACTAGTCAATTTCGAACTACTACGAAAAATCGTAATCGGTATGTGATATTGCAAAATGGCTGGTTCCACAAAGGTACAGAAATCGAACGCAAGCACATCTCACATATGAAAAAAATTTCAAAAAAATCTAGATGTGGCTATAGTATGCATCATATACTTTGCTTTAACGTAAATATGATAAATAAACTGTCTGAATTTACCTTATTCACTGATTTTTATTAAAAGTTTCACCACAAGCGTTCCAAACATGTCGAAAGTGCTGCCGTGTTGATTAGAAGAACTAAAACATGGCGGGAAGTATGGAAATGCCGTATTTCTTATCTAAACTACGTAAAAAATTTTTAATCCTAATATAAATACATAAATTATAAAATAATTACAAAATATATATTTACAACTGTAAATTTTAGAATTATATACAACTATCTTCCGTAAAGTTGGCATATCTGATTAATTAATATTTGATTTGCTTATGTTTGGAACATTGAGATGCAAAGAAAAGCAATCGAAAATTACCAAATTTTAAATGTTCTCAACAAGTATCTCACAGTTCAAATTTAAGATATCTCCATATATGAATACAAAATACAAGTATTAAATAAATAGCTAACAACTTATTGTTAGTTACAGTTACATATCTCATTACAAAAATGTAAAAAAGTATTCTAATAACGTAATTTAATGAGGAAACAGAAATAAAATAGGTATAGTGCAGATTACTGTTCTTACCTTCTCCTATAATTGATCCTAGGACCAAATTATACATAATAAGTATAGGTAGATAAGTACTGGTATTTAAATAATCATACGTATGTATATTTAAATAATAGAAAGTCAATTTAAAGGATAGTAGGTATAAGCGTATTTCATTTTACTATAATTTAAATGAGTAAATGAAATTCTTGTTTGGTGATAGGGGCAGATTTTTTTGTTTTAGATAGTTTGCAATTGCTTTATTTTATGAAATAGCTATATTAATTTTAAATAAATCACAACAAAAGTACGTGATTTCTTTCTTTGATTTAAAAAGGATACCTTTCACTTAATAGTAGAGGCAAAATAAAATATATAAAGGTAGGAGAAAACAGTCCAGATCATATTCATATTACCTATTCCCTGTTCACGTTTCCTCCAATCTTTAATATTTCTTGGAGCAAGAATTACAAAGATTACCAATCAAATTGTTGTAGACGAGGATATGTACCGTCCATTTGTTATCTTTCTCATTATAATGAAATGCTTTTTTGTCTGTCAATATTAAAAGCGGAAGAAGACATGTCAACGCACATTCCAAATTTATTTCATGTTCAATGATATAACAATAATAAATAAATATATTTATATTTTGTGTAGCCAAAAAATTAAATTTGTTTATAAATATAAACTTACCTATTTTTTCAATAATATTGTATCTAACACTTCCTTCTCCCTTCTCCGTTGGCTAATTGTTTGACAGTTGACGTTTTTCTCGTTTGACATTTGACAGATATTTTGTTTACTTTTTAACTTTTTGTTCCAATCTAACCTTATTTTCGTTCTTAATTCTTAGCTATCTAGCGGTATTTACGTTTTCTCGGTTTTTCACTATTTCAGTGAGTTTGTCTCTGAGAAGAGACAAGGTTACTGTCTGAGTTTTTCAATCTTCAACCAGAGACGAGATATTTTAAGAACACAAATCAATTTGAGTATTGTAGTTCATTAATTTGAGTAGCTAATAAAAATGGGAGACGAGGAAGATCCTAAAGAATACAGATGGGAAACAGGCTATGAAAAAACTTGGTATGTACTATGATTACAAATCAAGTTCGTAATAGCTTGCAATTTCATATTTTTAGGGAAGCCATCAAAGAGGATGATGAAGGATTTCTGGAAGCCTCCGTAGCTGATATTATACAAAGGGCTAAACGAAAACGTCAAGCTTTAAAACAAGGCAGTCAAAAATTAGGAATGATGAGACATTTATATTTACTCTTAGATTGTTCTGATTCCATGTCTAGTCAAGATTTAAAACCTACACGGCTTCTATGTACTTTGAAAGTAAATTTCTATATTCTATATTTATAAAATGAAACTCCAGTTTATTTGCATGGTTAAATGTGTTTACTGAAAAACAAGTTAAAAAAAATTACTTAAAACGTATATAGATGTACCTACTGTCTTATTTTATATTTTGTTTTGAATATTTTAACAGTGCAGATAAAAATATAGACTACCAGCATATTTTGAGTTGCCCATATATTTTAGCTCTTGGAAATTTTTATTGAAGAATTCTTTGATCAAAATCCGATAAGTCAAATGGGTATCATTATAATGCACAATAAAAGAGCCGAAAAAATAAGTGATTTGGCTGGTAATAGCAGAAAACATATAAAATGTGTAAATAATTTAAATCAAACGTCACTTGTTGGGGAACCATCTTTACAAAATGGGTTAGAAATGGCAGCGTCATCTTTAAAATTATTACCATCTCATGCCAGTCGAGAAATTTTAGTTATTATGGGTAGTTTAACAACATGTGATCCTGGAGACATCAACATTACAATTGAAGTAGGTAATAAATAGCATCATTTGACTGATCATGATGAACTGTGTTAATTATTAAATCTAGTTTCAAAAACATGTTTTATTTTCAGAATCTAAAACAGGAAGGTGTGAGATGTTCTATAATAGGCTTAGCCGCTGAAGTGCACGTCTGCAGATATTTGGCGAACCAAACTGGTGGCATATACAATGTAATACTTGATGATAGTCATTTTAAGGATCTGCTTTTCCAACAAGTTGATCCACCTCCGGCCGCTGTTTGCCTAGAATCAAGTTTGATTAAGATGGGTTTCCCACACCAGATCAACGTAGAAGGATCAGAGGAACCATTGACTATGTGCATGTGGTCAGTGCATTTGAGATTAATTACAAACGGCAATTATTTAGTAGCGTGTTTTTATTAAACTGTTTTGTCTTTCCAGCCATGTTGACAGTATGGACGAGGGTAGCAAGTTAACAACTGGGGGCTACTATTGTCCGCAGTGTTTTAGTAAATACTGTGAATTACCTGTAGAATGTCGAGCATGTGGTCTTACGTTAGTGTCCGCCCCTCACTTAGCCAGATCCTACCATCATCTCTTTCCAGCAGTTAATTATGTAGAAATAAATTTTGATAACCAGGCGGTGCTCTGTTTCGCCTGTCAGAAAACATTTGGGGAAACTGATAAGCAGGTATACATTTATTCAAACTTTTCAGTTCTTTTTTATAGATCGCAATATTTTTTTAGGTTTATGAATGTTCAAACTGCAAAAAAATATTTTGTATAGATTGTGATATTTTTGTTCATGAAACTCTGCACACTTGTCCAGGCTGTGCCACAAATTTAGCAACATTTCAGCTTACCCATTCTAATTAATGAAATATATAATTTTATTTTTTACAATAAATAAAGATGTTTTTATATATTTGTCTTATTTAACTGTCTTTAATATCATTTACTTCATTATCCAAGTATGTAGAATGTTTCTTACTAATCTACAATTTGAAACACATTAGACTATGTAAGTAAGTATATATGTATAATGTATATATACAGGGTGTTTTTGAATGGAGTAGCATAAATGATACCAGTGAATCTACAGTTCAAAAGAACACGATCTGCAAAAAATCGCCTTAGTAAAATGTTCACCCCTGAAGAGATATGGGCCATCAAAGTTTCCAAAAAAATTATGAAAATTGGCTGTAATTTGAAAATCGAACGAGGTACAAATAACAAATTTTTTACAGGTTGTTTACTAATCAGATGCGAGTTTTCAACTATTTTTTGAAAATTTTAACCCCTCGAAAGGGGTTGAAATAACCACCCCTCAAGCCATTTTTTGCCATAACTTTTATATTTCGTAAAAACTCGATATCCAAAAATACGCATTAGATAAACTGGTTCTTTTAGAAACTTTTACCTCTCTAGCAAATTTCCTTTAAAACTTTTCGTTTATTAATAAAAAAATAAAATGTATTACCATTCGCCTCACACCGTATATGATTGCAATCAATCAAAGAAAAACCAAGTGTGCTGCTGTCATGCCAGTTGTCACAATTAACTCTTCTGTAAGTTGTCACTGTTATCAGCTAAATACTTTTTGGGTGTAAATTAACAAGAATTATGCCAAATTTTACTAAAATAAATAAATCGCTAAAATAAATCTGGGAGCTTATATTATTATTTATTACGACGCGAGCTACGCCCCTTAATATATGCAACCTCATATACAAAATGTGTTCACAGCGAACAGTTAGATGCGTCCTTTGTTTTTATTGACTAGTCAGACATGTGACCCAGTACACGAAGATATGGGCTTTTGTGGCTGTAACAACGACAGCCACAGCTGCAGTAAATGAAATGTAGTTATATTTCGTTCATTGTATGTGATGGTTTATTTCTGCGAGCGGCACGAGTGAATGTTTTCGTTTAGGCGTCTACGGATATTATAGTTATTAAAATGATTAGCGTTTCGTTTTTACATAAAACTTTATTTATTTCTCTGCGTTATGATGATAAACTAAAAATAAAAGAATTAGGTGGGCCAACACCACAATTAAAAAATTGAAGATAGTGGGACAAGCCGAAGTAAAAGTTATAAAAGACAATTTAACAATACAATGTATACACAAAAGCAGAGTGGGTGTGCGGATGTCATTTAAAAAATACACTGTTTTGTTTTCCGTGCTTACTTTTCGATGGGGATAAAGCATGGACAATATATAGTGTGAAAGATTTAGGTCATTTAAGTCATTAGGTAAAATAAACATAAGAAGTCAGTTAGATTCTGCATATTCGGATAATATACGGAAACACAATGAACAGGTAACGAAAAATCGTTATGTATTATTTATTAAAATCATAGATTGTAAAAAATTTTGCGGAGCTTTCGAATTAGCACTTCACGGACACGACGAGACAGAAAATTCGGACAACCCTGATGTGTTTCGTGCTCATAAATTTTAGTGCAGATCTTGACGACATATTAAAATAACATCTAGCCACATGGGTATGGTTTTTCTGTTATTATTGTACCGGGAATTAGCGGTATGGTCCCGGATTTCGGATTTGCACGTATAATCTCCCGGAATATGATATATGTACATATATATAACGAACGAACGAACGTTATATATATAGAGCAGGAAGGGTAGTCTTGACTGACTAGTTAAGAAAAAAACCAGTGATGTATTTGGGATTGCAGTCAACAGTGCTAAGGGCTAATGTAATAAGAACACTCTGTGTTGTTGTCAAGCTTTCGGAAATGTTTATTTCCTTTCTCAAGACATAAACGTGAGATTATAATATAAAAACCATCAAAAACGAAGTATACAAGAACATTGTTAAAATTTTTATGAGCTTCACTAGATTAAAAATAATTGTAACTATAGTCAAACATTCTTTTATAAAAAACAATTTTTAAGTAAATTTTTAACATTTAAAACAACTAATACAGTAAAAAGGAGCCATGCCTTTGAAATGTGAACTACTTTTTATAACTATCAGAACCAGTTTGAAACTGAAATCAAAAATCGTTCTTGTGAAAATCTGTATTTTTGTATAAATGGATTGCTCCTTGAAATTCAGAAGTGCCAGGAAAACGCGTGCGGCGCCATTTAAAGACTCTCCGGGCACTTAATATCCCGGGATTCAATTTAACAAATGTAACAACCCTAAGCAGAACACATTCCATCAATATTCACGCGCCGCCACTGATATCAACCTATCAAAATATTTTCCCCTCTTCTTCGCAGCCATAGTATTTCCGATTAGAAATAGAAATCAATAAACTGGGTAATGAACAATGGTCGCTGATAACATTTTGTATACGATACGTCACTAACCTATTTCTATAGAAACAGACGGTATTTCTTTACAACTATATAATCTGCATTTTTAGCCGTTCTTGAATTTTTCATAAATATATTTTAATTACTGCTGCATTGTTTTTATTACTGTAGACACTGTAGAGTTTTTAATTTCATTAAAAACAAAGTAGTATAATATATATAGCATTTTTGCATGAAAATGTGTAGGGAAACAGTTTAACAAAGAAATTTTTAAAAGCCGCCGTAATTATGCACTCACAAAACAGAGAAATCTACTCTTTTTAGGTNCGTAAACCTTACTTATAGGTCATAAGATCACGTCATAAATTCCTTGAAAACTAGTTTCTTTCTACGAATACCAAATTCTTTTCATAAAGCTAATATTTTTTATTATCTATTTAGTTTAATAACAGTCCGGAATGACATATTTTCATGATTTATATAATTCAAAGTAGCTTACATTATTTATTTTAAAATTTTTAACACATTACAAAAATGACGATTGATTTATAATTCAAACTGCCGCTTTTTATCTCCCCTCTCTACATATGGGACATATGGAACACTAGCGCCCTCTTATTTTTGTAAGATTTTTGTTTACATGGAGTTCGGGCTCCTTGTATAGTCTCCATGATTAAAATATTGAAAATATACCGACCCAAAATTAACACAACCCGTGCGTAATCTGTGAATACAGTAACACAAAATTCCGAAATGCGGATCTGCCGAATACTTAAATACTTTTTTTATATTTTGTCAACCAAGACCCAAATATAAACATATGTTGGTAATTGCTACGCGGCGGATGATTTAAAATTGGCGACAAATTTTTGTAAAAAAATAAAAATATATATATATGTCCGCTTTTTTACTTACAAGTGAATTAAAAATTCTTAGTTCTTTCTACTAAAATGCGTAAATCACATTTGCAAAATCTATGACCAAAACTACAAAACAGACCAAAACTGTCAATATCATGTGAGATTCCTGGATTCTGTTATCTGTTTCGTTTCGGCAATTTACCACGAATATTATCGGAGAGTCAGGAGATAAGAAATGCGATTTGGTTCAGGCTTGTGTGTTAGTTTAAATCATATTTATTTTGTGTGCCAATTTATTCAAATTAATACACTGTGTATTGTGTGGTAGTAGATACCTACCAAAGTGTAGCATTGTATTTTTACAATACCCAAAACAAAATTGTGTCTGTGTGTGCGCTTAAAACCGTGACCAAAGCATAACAATTTGATCAAATTCCGCAAATACGAATCTCTAGTATTTAGGAATTTATATGGGTGGAATATACGATACGATTTTATGTAGAAGCTAGGAGCATAAATATATGCTTTTAGGTTAGTAATATTTCACACAAATATTTTTTATTCACTAAAATAAATAGTTCCACCAAGGAAAATAGGTATATTTTAACTTTAATTCCAAAAACAGTATGAGTAATATCTGTTATCAGTATCATTGTAGTACCAACATTTTTATCTGAATAATCTCATTGTTTTCCAGTTCCAATAATGGCCCATACATGAACTATTAATATAATCATCATAAGCATACGAAATTTTTATAACAAAATTGAGAAAGCCTGAATAAAATGGCTATGATCTGGAAAGTGTTAACAAGAAAAAAAGTGATTGATCCTGTTTCTGCCGAACAAAGTCAATTGTCCAGGGTGTTAAACACATTTGATTTGACTGCTCTTGGTGTGGGTAGTACATTAGGTGTTGGTGTTTATGTTTTAGCTGGCCATGTGGCGAGAGACATAGCAGGCCCTGCAGTGATTTTATCATTTCTATTAGCAGCCATAGCATCAGTCTTTGCAGGTAAGTTTTTGTTCATTTATAAATTTAATGAAGAGTATTTACATAACACAAACAAAGAAAAAGTAATGATATAATCATTTATGTAAGTTAACCGAGCCACAAGATAGTAAAATTACATAAAAAGGTCGTAAGTTAATGTGATAGTATTGACGTTAATAAAGAATAGAAATTATAATACGATAAATGTTGAAATTTATTATTTTATAATTATGTTTGCCTTCTGATAAGCGTAAGGAATTATTTTTAGGCTCTCAAGTTTCATTATAATACACAAAATCAAGAAATTAAATCTGTTCGATATCTTCGACAGAGTTATAGATAATTTTTAAATTATCTTGGGATTTATCAAAAGGTTTCAAGATGGATATTTTTAATTGACAATTTGAGATTAATCTTACTATTACTTTTTAAGTTTTTTCACACTTTAAGTATCCTCAATTTCACTGAAAATAGTAATAAATATACAGGGTGGCTCATAATTAGTTGTAAAAAATTTAACCAGGTCTTATAAAAAAAAACGGAATATACCTCAGTATTCCCTTTAGGGAATTTCTTTTACTTATTTTTTTTTAAGTTAACTCGATTCATAAGATATATCAATCAAATTTGGTACAGGGGTGTTTTTAGGTGTAGCTGAAGATGATCACGAGATTATATTTTATATAAAACAGATTTTAAGAAAGCACAGCTGTTTTTTAAAACATCATTGAGTCAGTCTGTGGCTGAGCAATTTGATACGTCGGTACTTCAATCAATGAATACCACTGTTCCAGATTTGATCCCTATGACCGTAAGACTGTGGATCAGCTATATTCGTAGAGGGGAATTAGGCACCCTCTTTATGAGCATGGTAGGGTGGAAATATGTTGTCTTGGGTCAATATGAGATATTGATACCAGTCGGCATTTGACCCTTAATTAATGAGGTTTTCCAGGTGTTTTTACAGCTAATAAAGTTTTGCTAAAAAATGAAAAAGACAAAAAATTTTTTTTAACACGTAACTTTTTGTAAGCATTTTAATACTCATATTTATTTCGAGCAAAAGAAGATATGATTTAATTTTTTACATCTAATTATCCCCTGTATTTTAATTAATCTCATATCTGTCATGTGTCACTCATTTATCTTGATACAATATTTGAAAAGATTGCTAAATTTTTTTTATTTTTATGACGAAATTCTTGATAAAATATGTGGTGAAATCATATTTCATTTATTTATTCCAAAATGATTTACAATAACTTATAGGTAAAACTATATATAATAAATAAAAATCCTATTTCAAGAGTTTTATGTCACAGGGCTTCCAATGAGATCATTTTATTTTACACAAGGTACACGAAGCTAAGGTTTTCTCATTTAAAAATATGTTTGTGAAGTCTCTATTTAAACATATAGATTATCACTAAATCATTTTTATAACAGATGGGCCATTTTGATAATGCATTTACTGGGATCCCGGAAACTGTAAGAGATAGGAAAAAGATTAAATGGGGAAACTTAAAGAGCATTCTGTTACTGTTCATTGTGAACTCAGATCTTTGTTTCAAGGTTGCGGTACCAAGGAATAGTCAGCATTTTCTTTTCACATTATTTTCTATTAGGAGGGCCATTGAATAAATTGTTGAGAAAAAAATTCTTCCACAATATAAGTATTAAAAAAGTCGTCCATAAAACAGTTATTACTTATTTGTTTATGTGCTATCTATCTTGAAAATACCTTAAAATACAATCTACGACCACTTGCACACAGGGAACCAAAACTTTTATGTTTAGCAATTTTTCTTTCACTTAAGCCAATAACAATGATGCATTGTGCTGTAGGTACTGAACGAAAATAGTGCATATTGTGTATATGAAAGATGTGTACATTTTCTGCGGATTCTAAATATAGCACCATATTTTAATTATTGGTATATTATTTACTTCCAAAATTTTTATTTTCAGGACTTTGCTATGCCGAATTTGGTGCAAGAGCACCAAGAGCTGGTTCGGCATACATTTACAGCTATGTGTGCATAGGAGAATTTATAGCATTTGTGATCGGTTGGAATCTGATTTTAGAATATGTGATAGGTAATGTGCACTATTTTAAGCTTTTTGTCTTCTCTTAAATAACAGCTTTTAATCTGATGCCTTTTTACCAAATATTACTTATTCCTGAAAAACGTTTATTTCACCTTTTCCTAGGATCTGCAAGTGTTGCCAGGGGACTGAGTTTATACCTGGACACATTAATCAACAATACTTTAAAGGACACCTTCAGGGAGATAGCTCCTATAAACGTACCACACCTTTCCCAGTATTTCGATTTTTTTGCTTTTGGAATTTCCATTTTATTGGCTAGTAAGTTAAAAGGAGTTTTAAAATGATATAATGCTAACTCCTCTTTTTTTTTAGCGGCTTTGGCTTTTGGCTTGAAAGAAAGCAGTTTGGTGAATAACATTTTTACGGTTATAAATATTTTTGTGGTAGGATTTGTTATTATCGCAGGCTCTTTGAAAGGTAGGTTGCATATTTCCCTAACTGAAGTATTTCCTATATATTGAATTGAATTTACAGCGGATCCCGGGAATTGGTCTATAAGTCCTGATAAAAATGATACCAATGCTACAGGGATAGGAAATGGTGGGTTCTTTCCCTTTGGTGTAGAAGGTATGATAAGAGGGGCCGCGACTTGCTTCTATGGCTTCGTAGGTTTTGATTGTATAGCAACCACTGCTGAAGAAGTAAAGAATCCTAAACGAGCTATTCCTATATCAATAATCTTGTCCTTGTTTATAATTTTTCTTGCTTATTTTGGAACGTCTACTGTAATCACTTTGATGGTCCCATATTATTTACAGGTAAGAAACTGGCTTTCAACATTACGCGAAATTGAAGTGATTTATGGTGAGTATTGATATTTTCAGAATCCTGATGCACCTATACCATATGCTTTTGAACATATAGGGTGGTATACTGCAAAATGGATTGTATCGATTGGTGGGATATTTGGACTCTGCGCAAGGTATGTATAAAATAGGAAATAATGATTTTGTGCGACTTATAAACACTCATTTCCTTTCAGTCTGTTTGGAGCCATGTTTCCGCTACCAAGAATAGTGTATGCGATGGCAAGTGACAGTTTGGTGTTTAAGTTTCTTGGGAAGGTACATTCGAGATTTCAGACTCCTGTAATCGGGACATTGTTAGCTGGACTACTCACAGGTAAGCGATCTACGGGGTATATCAGTTTAATTCTGAAACACCCCATTTAACACGAAGCGTTATATTTTTTTGGACAACTAACAAATTATTGAACTAGGTCTGATGGCAGCCTTGTTTGATTTGTCGCAGTTGGTCAACATGATGTCGATTGGAACATTGTTGGCTTACACTATTGTAGCAGCAAGTGTATTACTTCTGCGGTAAGTGTTTAATATTGTGCCTAAAACTGCATTATTTGAGTGTGATTTTTAGTTATATGCAGGGTGTAATTTTAAATGGGGGTCATATTTATACGGATACTTTTAACCTTTAGAAAAATGTATCACAGGTATATTTTATTTTCAAATTCTATTTTTTTTTTAACATTTTTAGTAATTTTCATACCCACCGCTGGACAAACTAGTGCGAACTCAAAGCAACCTCAGTGTGTGTTAGTTGCAGCACATGAGAACTGCGATGTGCATTGTTGCCAAATCTCGTAACTTAAAGAACTTTTTCTTTGGCGCATTACTTTTATTGAATGGGTGTTTGCTACAAATACTATCATCTCACATAAACGAAAATTGTATTTTTTTAAAAAAGACAAACTATACAACAGTACCTATCAAGTAATCTAAGAGAAAACTGAAACGTATAAATCAATAATGATAAATGAAATACACAAAAATAAGAAAATAATCTATTTACTCCCCTGATTTTTACAGCTTACCACATACTTGAAATCTTGTGGCTATTATTCCAACACTGGTATCAGGAATCTCTTTTATGGTTAAAATTTCTAGTTTTTTACTCGTTGAGTCCAACGTTTGCATATTAACGTTCAAAACTCCCATTATCCCTTAAATGTTGAGCCAATTTTATAAACATTTTCTTATTAGGTGTTTATAGGTCAGGATATACATCCATCTGACATCTTCTTGCAACAGCATCGTTTTCTCTTGACAAAAAAAGTAGCCCTAACATCTATATATTTTCTTGATTTGTATACATTCTTTACATAATATCATACAGAAACTGTGAAAATAAAAACAAAAATACACTGTACCGTCCCTAAACGCAAATAAATTATTTTATGAAGTTATATGTGTTCGACCATTCCCGTTTTGCCGAATTGTCACAGTTTGTTTTTTACCCGTTCACCATATCATATATCAGATGCAATTTTTCAGAGACGGTAATGCGGCATTTTGACTGAACTGAATTGAAGTAGAAGCTAACCTCTAGTGATGTCAGATCCGATTACTTTTATGTAATCGTGATTAGTAGGTACTTTCTCGATAAGTAATCGTTACTTATTACAATTACTGACCCTGATTTCGTGTAACAATTACTCGACAGAACAGGTACTTGATTATTATGATTACTAGTAAGTAACGATTCTTTAGTAATGAATCATTACAATATTGACATCATTACTAACCTCATTTGCCCTTCGTAAGCTCTCAGAACATGATCGGATTCTGCTTAAACTTAAACTGCTCACCGTTTAATTTTGTTGTTGTTTTGTTTATTTTGGATTAATTTAGCCAGTTGGCTGCTGATACATCTGAATAAGAAAAAAGGGCAGAAACATACTGTATTTTGTTTAATTTTTATAAATTTTTAACATTTCTAAATGTGTCCTTATCTACTTTATGTAGTGACAGTAATATAGTTCAGCTAGAAGTAGATCAATGTTAGAGGTCATTGACACTGAGATTCACAAATTAAATACATACACTGCTTAAAATAAAAAGATAAGACGTAATTGCTCATAAATCAGATTAGTAAGTATAGTTATTTTAAACAATTAGTTTGACATACTATTATCTATTACTAAAAAATTACCCCCACTTAAAGTTAACCCTGTATTATAATAAAATAATAATCAAAGTTATTTAAAAGTTGTCTAACCAAGAGTTTCGAAATATTCTAGTTTTACTTTTTTTTTTTATTTTTTATAGTTCACTAACAGTCTTATAGATAGTTCTTTTGATAAGACATTTTCAGTAACAAATTAAAATCTATGGTGATGTATTTAGTACCCATAAATTAGTGTAAAAGTAATAAAGATTTTCTTTGGCAAAAATATAGTCCTATTAAAATATTAGTTTAAAAATATTGTGACTTGTGTGAATGTTGTATTAAAAAATTAATGCTTGAACAATTAGAACTTGTATTTGTGTTCATTGCTTAACATGCTTTATTAACTTCCAATTAGATATACTAGAGAAGAAACACACCAGTATGTGCCCGTTCAAACTACATCAGATTCTGATGATAGTGAAAAGTAAGTGTATGTGCATGCTTTTGTTACACGTAGCAGATAGAAATAGTTAGTAGAAATTGTGTGAAATAATTTCAGTTGACTTTTTGAAATGTTTACTAGTATGAGTTAATACCCTGTATAAATACTGATGACCAGTTTGTTTTTCAAAGTTATACGGAGAACAAGACCTATAATAATTCCGAAGATGCTACAACTAGTGACGAACAGGAACTACTCCATCCGCCGGGAGGTTCGGTTCTTGCACAAATTTTCAATTGTGGGAGATACAAGAACCCTACTAAGACGTCCGAGACGATAGTTGCTTTCGAAGTATTTATATATTGTAAGTCAAAAGTTAGTGAATCGCATAAAAATTATTACCGACTACCTTTTTAGGTATAATCTGCGTTCTTATGGGACTATGTGCGATTTATTTGAGAGACTACATAGGAAACGGTGAAATCTGGGCAATCGTAATAACTTCTATAGTAGTTTTCATAGCAGTAGTTATAATCATGTCTATTGTAACTCAACCAACTTCCAACAAAGAACTGTCCTTTAAGGTAGAAATTTTTTTGTTAATTTTCTCCTTGTATGTTTAAACCATGTTCTGGCTGCAGGTGCCACTGGTTCCTCTCATTCCAGCCCTCAGTATACTAGTCAACATATATTTGATGTTGATGCTGGATATCCACACTTGGATACGTTTTGCCGTGTGGATGGCAATAGGTATGTATATAGATTTTGGATTCTTTATTTTACATTTGGGGAAGGGAATTGTTAATGGACACATTACTGTGACTATAATTGTTTAACTATTAGTATCGAAACACTTAAATCTTTTTTATAATTTCTCACATTAATTTCCATTTGACGACTTCTCTCCCCTATTTGGTACATTGACCGCATGCTGTAAATAATTGCATGGGTGTTAAATTGTTTCCATAGGCCTGCCTATTTACTATTTTTCCGTAAGACCATACACAGAAGCACAAAATAAAAACGTGTCTAACAAAAGTTCAATCGATTATAACGTAACCATGGTGCACAACAAGCAAAATGGAAAAATAAACGGCATCAACAATAAAGCGTTTGTCGACGATGAAAACGTTTCGCCTCAGCTCGGCGTGGAGAACGAAAACAAGAATTCTAAGAAAAAGGCCGCACCTCAGCCGCCAATGCAAACCAATGGAATTTTAGAGAACGAAATCCCAGCCGAAATAACGAGGCTGGATGAGATTTTGGACGCAGCTGCTAGTTCTATTGATGATAGTGTGATCGAACGTAAATTATCTGTTGATACTGTGTCTAATATGTCAGACTTTGTGCCTCACGAGGAAAATGTTGTTGCTGATGTACATCGTGATAATGTTGTTACACCCGCTAATTCCAAAGCCCCTTCCTTTTCCTCTTACAAAAAAGACTCTCTTTCTGATAGTAACGAACCCCCGTCACTAAATCTGGATAATAAAATCGATATCAAACTGCTGGAAAATGACAGTAAAGTAGCTTCGAACATTATCGCCCAAAATGAAATACAGAAAGAGGCGCCAGACATAGAAGATATTCAAATTTTGGACGACTCTCTGCCGCCAGTGCTAGAAAAAGAAACACAATTTGAAGATCAACCTGTTAAAGACAGTGACTCAGAGTCCATTAAAAATGATACTTCACAGCGTTCAAGCAACACATCACTCATCCCCACTCCACCCCCATCGCCTAGTTCTCCAGTTTTAAAGGTGAAAGAAGAAAAAAATGACAATGTACCTGTCCCACCACCTTTAATACCTCCGATGGTGTCTATGGAAGAAGTAAAAGCAATTTTAAGGCCAACTGCTTCGAATCTAAGAAGTGTAACCTTGAGACCTACCAAACAAAGGGAAGAGCTTATACAAGAAGACGTATATGAACCTGGTGAAGAAAATTTAAAAGTCGGTTCTGACAAATATAAACATTTCCTGGAAAATCTGAATGGAAAACTTCAGAGTAAGAAGGTATTACCTAACTACATCCCATATATCAAATTGCCCCCTACTAACAACCCTGAACCTAAACATGAAACAGAGGAGCATAAACCAAGTGAAAACGTCGTTGAAGATAACATAAATAAGTTGGAAGCGATGGAGAAACTTGGTAGCTTTATAAGTGATCCATCCCGAAATAAAGGTATACTGGGCAACATTAATTTACTCGAGAAATCTACAACGAAGGACGAAGGAAGAAATGATGAAGGCATAATAAAAAATAACGATAATGAGAGCAACAATCAAAGTCCTGAAGATGATGATAAAGCAAGTGTTAGTACTTCTGACAGCGATTTCATGGAACATAAAAACAGAATGCAGAATGTGTTCAGAAGCATGAACATCAAGAAAACGGATGGGCTGAGAGATCCTGATCATGTTGAGGGTCGTAATGTGAAATCCTTGGGGCCCAGCTTTCTTGGTGATGATAAATCTAAACATAGGCAAGCTATGGGCGAGATTTTTAAAAGCATTGAACAAAGAAGGCCACAAGAAGATGGTGACTAATTTAAAATATCGATACGAATTAAAGAATAAATAATGATAATAACTTTCTTCCATATTCATAAAAAAGATACTTTTTGTGGGACAAAATGCGAATATTAGAAGGTTTTAACAATATTTCTTTTAATGTATAAAATTTCTACTTGAGCTTTCTGAAGTGAGATTTTATCTCATTATTTTTGCTTTACTTTAACAATTTCAGTGTGAAAAGATTATGGTTTTATTTACAATTTTCATCCCGACACCATTCTGAAATTCTTTGAAAATGCAACCTGCGGAATATCCCATATAAGACAAAATCCACTATAAGGCTGTCATCATGGAGAACTATGAGATTAAGGCAATAAAAATGAGATTAAACTGTGTCATGTTAAAATTAAAACACTTTCCCCTGGACCTAATTTTCCTAAATTTATGTGTGCCTCTCTTCATTTTTTTGTGCTTCTTATGGTCTTTTGTGTGTCTGTGATGCTTGCTTGTTGTACAATAATCATTTCTCTATTGAGTGATTCCTTTTGTGTTGATCGCACTTTTTTATTTTTTTTATTGTAGTTTTTAAGATATGTGTTGCTGATAACCTTATTTATATATTCAGTTAAACAACTAGTAATGAGAATACTCTTAATAAATCCCTATTACCCATATTTATTTTCAACATGTTATCACTTTACTGGTTGAAAAATGGGCGTTACCACAGACAACTTAATTAGGGAATTTTAATGTGTGTTACGAACAGTGTTTTGTATTGTAGTATAATGAAATAACAAAGACTTCTCGAAGTACTAACAAATAGCATAATCCTAACTCATCGATTAATTCATAAATGTTAGGTCAAAAAGTAATGTTTTAAACCTGGTGGACCCAGTATTTTACCAATGACAAAACCATAAATTAGAAACACGTCGACGCTTTAGTACGAAAACATGCTATTTTGGATGGAAAACATGCTATCTCAAATTTCGGTTGGAAAACATGCTATCTCAAATTAAGCTTGGAAAACATGTTAGCTCAGGTATTTAAGTAAAAACATGCTATCTCAGTGTGACTAGAAATTTAAGTTGGCACATTGAATGATTGAAACCGTGCACTTATATAATATATTTTTCAAAAAGTAAGGAATATTTATGTTCAGGTACACTGTTTATTTTATTTTTTTTATTCGACATTTTTCAATTAATTTTGTTAAGTTACTGTTATAAACGACAAAACTGTTAATTAAAAAAATAGAATAATATGCAGTATTAGTTAATTAAAAAAATAGAATAATACGCAGTATACTGCAACATGTACATTACTTGACATTTTTTGAAATAACACATTATAAAAAAAATAGTGTATACTTTAATATATAAAAATGTTTGTTATTACTAAAAATTATTCGATTTTTTTCATACAAGTTTGCTTTGATATCAAAATTAATATCGTACTCTTATCTGATTTATAGTCGCTACTCATGATACACTTATTTTTCTTGTTCACAAAATCTGGGATGCACAATTTATTCTGAAAATAATTTTATATGCCTAATGCAGACTAAGGAGACTGCAATAAAAAGAATTATATAGTGGATCACTAGGCCCCAAACTCCGGGCGAATTGTTCTTACTGCACCTCAATAAAAACACGGTAACCGCATCCTTGCATAGACTTTGGAAATGAAATGCAGGTATGCGACACTTTTATTACCGGTACTTTATGGTCTGCTGATAATAAACATGTGTGCATGGGGAACCGCGGAAATGTGCACATGCATATCATATGCGCCCGTCGCATCGATATATACATATCATTCAACTTTATACATTACATTTATATTCTGGTTATTATGTTAACTCTATTAATAAAAGTAAGAGTAGTGACTATAAATCAGGTAAGAGTGCGCTATGAATTTTTATATCAAAGCAAACTTGTATGAAAGAAATCAAATAATTTTTAGTAATATAAACATTTTTATATATTAAGGTATACACTATTTTTTATAATTTGTTATTTCAAAAAATGTCGAGTAATGTACATGTTACAGCGTACTGCATATTATTTTATTTCTTTAATCAACAATTTTGTCGTTTACAACAGTAACTTAAAATTAATTGAAAAATATTGAATAAAAAAAATAAAATAAACAGTGTACACAGATATACCTTACTTTATGAAAAATATATAAGTTTATTATAAATGCACTGTTTCAATCATTCAATGTGGCAACTTAAATTTCTAGTCATACTGAGATAGCATGTTTTTACTTAAAGAGCATGTTTTCCAACCGAAATTTGAGATAGCATGTTTTCCAACCAAAATCTGAGATAGCATGTTTTCGTACTAAAGCGTCGGATGTTATTCTAGCCATCGGCAAATCATTGATGCAATTAAAAAACCCGATGGTCCTGTGAGTTTTGAAAAAAAAGGCCCTGTATAAACAAGGAAAAAGTGTGTCTAGTGTTCTCATCCCTAGGTTTGACTGATTGTCTGACTATTAAATATATAAATAAGGATGAAAGTAATTAAAAGCATTATTTTCGGAATAATTCCAGAAAAGAAAGTTTTTAAATTTAAATAAATACAAGGAGAATAGGTGTCCAGTGTTTATAGAATAGTGCTTTTACTTGCTAATTCTTAACTTAACAGTACAGGGTTAGTGTTTGTATATTGATTTTCTTATTAAACTATCTGTATTTAATTAATACTTCTGACATACTCGCCTGTTGCCAAAGTGATATTAAGTCAACAAACTGTTACTAAATTGTTTACAGGGTTTTCAATGTATGGATTTTATGGTCTTCCTAACAGCATAAAAAATTTTTCAGACTATGAACGGTTAGATTGACTTCCTTCAGATGTTATTTTACAGAATTTTATGTATACCTAAAAAAGCTATTTATTTTATATAAAATACTTATATTTTAAATCAAATATATATTATATCTAAGTTCTCAGAGTTTTTTAATTACCCCTTTTTTCCCAGTGTATGTAAAAGCAGTCTGATCTGAACCATTGTAGTTAATAACTGTATTTAAAGGGTTACACCACTAGAATTTTCAAAAAATGTTTTTTTTTTACTTAAGAGGTAGTTTCAAACCTTCTAGAATATGAGGCAAAAGGTTTTTTACATGAAAATTTTTTAATTTTTTTTAATTTTGCATTTTTTCTGAAGCGTGTCAGGCGTCATACTCTCTCAGAAGGTACTGCGTACCATCTAACCTATTGATTTATAACTTCTCTAATACACTCATAGATGTTAAGGAGTATGTGTGTACAATTCTAGCAAAATTATCAAACAAAAGTACGTTAGTGTAGCGTCATTGTACGTTCATGTCTAAAACTCATTTTAAAACTAAATACGTTTTTCTTGAAGCACACTTTTTTTAAAACGGCACGCACTATAACCAAAAAAATTCAAAACACACTCTTGAAAAATTAAAAACACATATAAAAAACAAAAAGAAGATTTCCCGAAAAGAAAATAAAAAAAATTGATAAAAAAAAAAAACCCCCCTTTTTTTCGTCAAAAATTTAACGTTTTACTTCAAACACTTGCCAATTTTACAAAAAACAATATTTTTGCAATCCCGTACGTGTTTCTCTAGTTATACTCGTGTAGATTAAGAGCAATTTTTTTTGTTCCACCTTGAAAGAGACCCAAAATTTCGCCTATTTCGTCAACCTTACGAATTCGATTCAAAAGTGGTCTAAATAATGGCTTGTGGTGATACTTTAGAGTAGGCAAAATTTTAAGTTTTTGTTTTGGAGATGTGACAAATTGAACCTATTAGTTGGCTTGTACATGCCAAGATGAATTCAACATTCTCGGCACACTCGTTCATTGTGTTCAAGATTCTCAAATATGCAAAGTGTACCATTTCCTATGGAAAATCTTTCGTTCTTTATGAATCTACTATTAGATTTTACCAAACACTTTGTTTTAATGAGGTACTGCCAATTTTACAAAAAAAATCAGGATTTTGCTGAAAATATTCAATTAATCAGTATTTTTATACTGGAGACTTACAAAATCTCGATATATACTCTAAACCTTGTATCCGAATAATGATGAAAAAAACAAATAATTGAGTAATCAAAGTGTATATTAGTGATTTTTTAAAATTGATTCTATACAGTATACAATACATATACAATTATGTATCCATACAACAGTTAGGATAAGATTAGATACTCTTTAAGAAAACATCATGTTGTGAGTGACTACGCTTTTTGCAAGCAATGAGTTTACATTTTTATCACTCGGATCATGTAAAATAATACGCAATTATTTTCTTAAGAGAAGTCTCTTCTGTCGGCTCATCAGCACCCGATTCGCCAAAAAACTGATTGCTCGCCAAACCAAGTGACTTCTTTAAGTGTTTGCTATATCTTTTAAGTGGATATACAAATCTATCAAGATTTGCTATGTTTTCATTATAAAAATATTAAATCAAAGATATTTAGCAAAAATGCGTTATTTTTTACAAAAATCTTTTATATCTTTCTTGTACTATATTTTTGGTAAAATATAATGAAAGATTGGAAAAGAACGGAAAATTTTACGTTATAAATGTTATTGCTTGTATTTGTTGAGAATTTTAAGATAACACAAGAGGTCGCCGAGAATGTCGGATTTGCCTTGGCGTGGATGAATCGAATAACGAGTTTAACTTGCCATATCCTAAAAATTGAATGTATGCTCAACTTGAAATTTCGCCTACATTAAACTATCACTATAAGCTATCATTTAGGCCACTTTAGAATTGAATTCTTAAGGTCGACGAAACGGGTGAAAAATAGGGTTTTTTTGGGTCACTCTTTGCACTACTTCTAGTGCGTGCCGTGGAACGCCTTGACGGCAACAAAGAAAACAATTTTCTGTACACTTAATACATGCCTAATAACATATTTAAACAGTTTTTTTTCTATTACCTTCTATTAAAAAAAAAAAATTAGGCCGGAGTGGTGTAACCCCTTAAAACTTCGGTAAGGTAAAAGAAATTAAGCTTTCAATTTTCAAATAATTATTATTGTACTAAAAAAGAATTATTTCGCTCCATATAATAACTGAAATTTATAAAATAGCAGTATAATTTTCAAAACATTGTAAAATCATGCGAAAATGCTATATTTTAATGCAAAAATTAAAAAGTTAATATTGCCACTAAATTTACACTTTAAATATACAGGGAGTTCGGAAGCTAAGTCGACAAACGAAGACAGCTAATTCTAGAGATGATTTCATATCGATTTGACGTAAATTGTCTTATCCAAAAATGATTCCTAAGGGAGGTAGGGCTTTTAGGAGACGGTCCTTTAACATTGTTTCTTTTTTAATTGTTGTTTAATTGTTCAGATCGTTTATTGTTTATCTAGAAGGATTAAACTTAGGTTATGTGTTACTGATAGCCTTTTGACTTTAATCTTTTAATTGTAATCATAGATGTCACATTTGGGAGGGTCAGTTGTTATTTTCCCACAAAGCGCCTACACCGGCCGCATTTGCGGTCAGGGTAGACGACAGATGGGGCCCACCTACGAAGGCTGTCCAGGCCTACACGAGATGAGGCAGGATAAAGAGGGATAATCCCCCTCGATCCCAAATCATTGAGGCCAATTTCTAGCCATGGAATAATAGCGAGTTGTTATTTTATTATATTATTATTATATTTCCATTTATCTTAGACTTTTTGGTATTTTTAATATCAAAATCAAAAACTTCAGAGTATTCTAGATTAATGGGGTACTCTTGTTTTAAGTGGCTAGGGTGTACTGTATGCGAGAAAAATCTGTTTGAAATCTTTGTGTTTTTATTTGCAGAATAATTACGAAATTACAAATTCTTTGCTTATATTTAGTAGTTGGCTTTGGAAAACAGACAAAGTAAAATTCTATAAAAAAGTTGGAATTTTGTATTAAATAATATCACAAACTGGCCAAAATTATAACAAAACGACGATTAACAAAAACAAATGTGACGCCTACGGTTATAATTAAAAGATCATTTTTATATCAAAAGGCTGTCTGCATAAGAGTTAACACATAAACTAATCCTTCTGCAATCTGAACATTAAAAAAAAACAATGTTAAAGGGCTATCTTTAAAATGTTCTACCTCCCTTAAGGAGCATTTTTGGAGAAGACGATTTATGTCAAATCATTATGAAATCTTCCCTAGAATTTGCTGTCTTCGTTTATTGGTTTATTTTCTAGACACCCTGTATATTACTTCTGTTTAATTCAAATTAGATAAAATTCTGTTAACAGTAAAAATTTTTCTGATTCTTAATAATTCATGAAAAATAGCTAGCCATGAGCAGATCTCTGGGTTTTTCTTGTCTCCTGCCATTCCAGACTTGTCAAAATTTGAGTAGTAAAGTAAGCCCTTGAACTTATTTATATCATAAATTCTTCAGTGTGCCAAGCGGTAAAAAAGCTAAATGGATTATGCATGGCCTTCGATGCGCTACTCAGATTTTCAATAACTTCAAATCATCCTCCAATGCTTAAATATTGTCATGCTTGAAAACGGAGAGACCAAGATGTCCAAACAACAATCTGAAACCGAGATACTAAATAGGTTCAGCCCGGCTAAATTTGGAAAAATTGTTCCGACGTCTATTAAGAAGAAAGAAGATGTCATCGGTTGTTTCAGGCCGAATAAAGGAGAATGTCTCGATTACAATATATCCCAAACAGTAGTGCGAATGGACGCAGGGGACACAAAAATTAATCTGAGAGAAACACTTGCAACTTATATACCCGCACCCCCAGTTACACCTAAGAAAAAAAAGCCGACAAAAGAGTCTCCTCCTAGTAAATTTATCACTGAGATTTGGATGGAAAAACAAGATGCCCTTCAAAAAAAGTACAAAAAGGAGCTTCGCAAGAATCTTAAAATGGATAAAATAAGAAAAAAATATAGAGGTGAGTATTTGAAATCTTATATGTAATGTAAATTAGGGGTCTTATTGTAAATCTTGTTTTTAAATGCTTGATATGGTACTGATTAATTGATTGATTAATCTACAACTAATACAGAAAATACATTCTTTAAAATTGATATTTTTCCATTAACAGAAAGGTAAAAAAGATAAAGTGGGTAAAATGTCGTGAGAATGCCCCTGTACAGGCTGAAAGAGTGCTCGCCTGAAGATGTATCGATTTTGATGACACCTGGTGATAAGACATTTCAAGGGATGCTGAATGAGAATACGTAATCTGTTTTTTGGAAAAAAAAATAGTTAATACCAATAATAATAGTTGGTTTGATGTCAAAAAAAACGCGTTCTAGTTGGCCGCGTATTGCTTTAATAAAAATAGCAGTATCACAGTTAGATGGAGTTTTTTTATTCTATATTCTAAAAAAAAATTTTTGAAATCGGCCAAAAAATAAATAAGTTACAGGCTTGTATCACATTTAAGCGTGACACCCTGTATATCCAAAATAAAACATTTTCAGAACTTATTTTATCAATTAATGATAAAAAATCTGCCATTAAAATGTGATCAAATATTTTAGTTACATACTGTAAAGTGTCTCATATACTTCCCTGTTATTGGAGTTACCAAACTATATTGGGTGGTTATTTGGTAAATAAATAAATAAATAAATAAATAAATTTCTACTAAATGTGGTAGTACGTAAATGTTATTTCTTCACATTTAGAAGACTCGTTAAAATATTTGAAACTGAAAGTATTTTTAGAAACTTGGTTCTTTCAGGTAAAGATGATCATGACTTCATCTTGTCCTTGGTTGGCCCAGAATGGTATCAAGAGCTATCTCCAAATCAATTAAGAACTGTGGATCAGTTACAGTGTTGTATACTTACAGATATCAAGAATAAGTCCATCACCAATGTTCAAGAAAATATTGGGCAGTTGGGTCTGGTGCTTAGGCCAAACCATCGGCATATAGCAAAAGCTCTGAGACTCTGCTGCAAGGATCC